TTGAGCTTCACTTAAGCGTTTAGTGATCATGAAAGCTCATATTTCAAAAACTTTGTTCATCAAACTGATTCTCTGGAGTTATCACAGGAGGATTTCTCACTTTTCTCCAAGACTGGGACAATCAACGATTAAGACCAGTCAGAGGGGATTATATCTTACTGCCATGAGCTAGGTGATACTTCAGTTAACCTCACAAATAATCTACAACCACTCTCTTCAAATGTCTGTAGTACTATCCCATCTTTCCTGGTGCTCTTCCTCCTTAAGGTTTCTCATAGCTTTCTCGACTTCTACAACTGTTGGAGGTCCTATCTCAGTGTTCCTTTCAGTATTTACTGGTTATATGTACAATGTAGAGGCCAGTTGAACTGTTCCTCCACCATCTTTACTGTCAGTCCTCACATGAATGAATCGCAGATCAATCCTACTCCGCTGTCATTTTACTAACATCGACCTTTTTGACTTTCAAGTTTAAACAACTGCCTACTGTTATCTATCACCGCAGCCTTTTTGATCTCTGTAACATTCGCTGCCCACCATTGGCCGTGGTTTGCACGTAGACTTTTCATCAGTATGCATTTGAATTGCTTCCGCTCCTCATTATACTCGGGACCTGCAGGAATGTGTTCACACCCATCCATCATCTCTGAAGAAGAGGTAGAAACCCACCGACGTTTTCTGACTTCTTTCTAACAACAAGTTACAGTCTTCAACACTGTTGCCAAGACATACTGGAGATAGGGGCAGGTACTTTCTGGATGTGTGACATTATTCTCTTTGGTATTCTCATCTTTGGGCTACACTCGGAATAGTCTCATTGACTGTATCTTTTCTACGTCCATTTAGACGCAGACATGCGCATACTCAATCCAGTACATGATCACTGTTCCAAACATATGCTCAAGAAAGAGTGGCAATCTTCCACTGACTGTCTCCAGCGACAACTGTTGGCATTGTGGTCTATCTGTGTCCACCGCTGAGTTGAGATTGATGAATGTCAAGTCAGATAATGTCTCTTTATGTCTGAAGTACGTGCTGATCATAAATAAATGGTTATCTGCGGATATTAAAAGCTCAATGTGTAGTTTGGAGCTCGGTTTCAATAGGCCAGCGATTCTATTCCTTGATTTCCAGTCGTTATTAAAAGCTGCAGAGCCGGAGTAAATCAAAAATGACTCAGGAATATTAACCGAGAAAAGTTAAAAGGAAAAGATATGGGAGGTTGATAATGATTTATGGAAACTTGGGTGTTGAAAGAAACTTAGTGGAGGTAGACACTTCCTGGCTGTCAATATCGTGGGAGATTGCTTATTTCTGAGGTAAATGAAAAGAAATTTTTCTAAGTAATAGTGGCGTGTGACTGAAAAGCCCAAGAAACATCCACTGGAGTCTGGCCACTTTGATGCTTTCAGAACTGAATTGTGAATGCAGTTGCTCACATTTAGGACCCAATAGAATTAATACTTCAACATGATATTTGGGAAACAAAAATTGTAGTTGTAATATCTATATATCGGGCAATCCCACCAAACAATTCACGCGAGCTCAATCACACATTGAATATCCGTATTGGCACTAACATAGTCCTAATAACATGGACTCAGTTGTATGTAGATGATAGTCAGTAAGATTAAAGCACTAAAGTCTTAGCAATAACTTGTCAGAATATCGTTATACATGAGGGATATTCATGAATCAAACAGACACAAACTCATGCTCGCGTCACGTTTTCTGTCTGGACACTCACAACTCATCTCAGTCACACATGGCTTTTTAAAAGTCCGAGACTTAAGTTTGGTTTTTTGCTTTGAATTCACCTATAAACCAATATCATAGGTATCAGAAGACGGTTAAGTAGGGAAGAGTGCTATTTTTACGCTTGGCGTTTTTTATCCCTCTTCCTGTAGGCAGGGGGCAGCATCAACGTGGACCACCGGCCATCCACAGGAAACGTCCTACTTCTGTCATACCCCATCCGTCCAGCGGTACGACTTCACCCTCGGATCCCAATCATAGTGTGGCAGTTTTCACTATGGCAGCATCTGCTTTTTATCTTATCTCTACTCGACAGATGTTTCTGATGTAGTAAGACTTCAAGAAAACAAGTGCTCCACCAGCAAACCTCGTTGGGTGATTTTAATATGCAAATTTGAGCATTATGTCAAGGTAGCAGCTATCGGTCGGGTTAAGTCCTAATAGCTCTGTTTTAACACTTTTTAAAAACTACATTGAGTTTAAATCTACTCAGCTAATTGCCACTGAAATCCTTCTCGCTGACTAAATAACCTATTAACTAAGACGGTTTGCTATAAATAACTCAGTAGTTTTATTATTCCACTTTCAGCACTTTATAACAGTTCTTGTTGAGCTTCAAATTTTTCTTTACTGATGGCTTTAATAGCATGTGGTACGACTTATTCATCAGTGAAAATAAATTTCAAATTTATTGGCGTAAAATGAACAGAGTATTTCTTTCTGTAGGCATCTTGTTTACCATTATGCTACCTTTTATTTCCAACTATAATAAGAATTGAGAATGCATTCCTCTTTATACCCCCTAATTTCCGCTTCTATGGACTTTCAAAAATATTTTTTTTCTCACTATATTTTATTGTTTTCTTTGATCTTGCTTTGATCCCTAATCTCTTCGAATGTCTAAAATATTCAACCGATCTATAAATTCTTTTTAATAGATGTTGTTGCTCGATTTCTGAATATCTTTATTTTTTTTCTAATAATCTCTAACGATATACTTTTAATTATGTTGTTACTTCTCTATTTAGTTAATGCGAATATTTAATGGTCGAATTTTACGCACAATATGCTATTATTTGTTAATAACTATTTAGGCTTACTTCTAGACCGTTCAGCTAATACACATTATAAACAAAAACTTAGCTATATTACAGTTCATTAGTTCACTCCACTACAAAGGTATGAAATGCAACCTCTGAAGGTTTGTATCTTGAAGGTACTGAAAATATTCCATCATCATTACCTTCAAAGCATTGTTCTCCTGTGACCAAACTACTGGATAAAACAGTTAGTATATAGGTATAGTTGTTAACAAGCATCAAGTAGTACTGTTACAGTATTCTTTGTCCGTAGTAATCTATGGCCTACGTCGGTGCAGGGAAGCTGGAATATGATCAGCAACTAAGCTGTGTAAGAACTTCATAGACTGCTGATTTGTACCTTACCAGGAACTGTGTGATTAAAATTGCCAATTTCTATAAAATAGTTTAATTCATGTCCACTGACACTATCAACATTGGTTGCATGAATCTATTCACTTTTTGTCTTTTAATGGCTTCTATGCATCCTGTTATTTCGTATTACATGATTTTAGTCTATTTTCTTTATTGATCTATTTTCTGTAATATCTTGTAGTATGTCAGTTTAAAAGGAATGCATTACTCTGCTTAGCTGCACGTTTTAAATAGCCAGGTACATAAATGTGCGTAGTTAATATAAAGTAAACTGAAATTGTTATTGTTCATTTCGGCTTTTTCATGTTTCTTGTTGCATTTGATATTTAATTCTGTTTCACCATTTACTAATTCAAGTGATATATTTTATATATGTTCCGATAGATTTTGGATTTTAAGTATTTTACCGTATATATATATATATATATATATATATATATATATATATATATATATATATATATATATATATATATATAATCATTGGAATTCAGTTTTAATTATATTTTCAGACCACTGAATGTTGTGTTTATTTCTGTGGATTTATCACCTTGTAGTAACTATGTTTGGTGTGTGTATTCGATTGATGTTCACGGTCACACCAAAATATTAAAACTGCTACTAGTAAATACTATTCAACCTAGTATAAATCCTGCTGCAATCGAGATTTTTTCTAGTCCATAGTCTTCATCTCAAAACATCAATCCATTTAAAAATTAATCTTGAATAGTTATTCTTAGCAGTAAAACTTATTTATCGGGTTCGAGTGTTGCTGAACTATCACTAAGGCACCATCTATGACTTTGGGCTCTATTATATACTCAAGATAACAGGTAAGCAGACAAGTCATCAGTGTAGAAACTGGTAACAAAGTCCATCAGTTTTAATTCCCACACTTCACAGCAGCATACAAATAAAAGAAAACATGACAATGAAGTCCAAAAAAGTATATAACAGGAAAGGAAATAAATAAGTGGAGGTTAGTGAAATGCTCAAAATTTCGAAGATTACAATAGGTGTATACATCTGTGCTGTTATCACTGCATTTTACCTGTAAAATCAAGAATATCCAACCAGGTAGTAATAATGTAGAAAATATAATTAAGAAATGTATTGTATTTTCCTGCATTAAGGCATATGAGACTTACTGTGAACTGTTGTCCTTATCTAGTTAAGTAGGTCATCCATAATCTTAACAGACAGCTATGTGTGTGCGAGGAAACTATGCATGGGAGTGGAGAAGAAAAATTCTTGACCCAGCAGTTGGTTATGTCAACAAATATATATTCCTACTTGATCACAGCTAAGAGTGTAATACGAAACGCTGATGAAAAATTACTGGGACGAAATTTGTGTGCAAACTATGTTTGCCAGTCATCAGCGCAGGTAATAATATTTTTAATACCTCACTGTGTCGAGTACATTTAATTTACGATAGATACTAGTTGCAAACTGATTCACTTATTCTCCCCGTAAAAGTAATAACTAACTCATAACTGGCCTTTTTCAGTGAATCTAAACATCTGCACCCCGGGGTCTCTATCTTTCGCTTTACAAATATATGCCTTACAGTTCATATGTAAACTTGTACTTCGTTGCTGGATGGATGATACCGATGTCGTATACAGTCACATGCAGCCGTTTGATCGATGACGTATTTATCTTTCACTGGAACTGAATGTTTATGAATATCTTTGTTTATTCCTTTACTATCGTGTATTTGATAACCTTCAAACTTCATTTAAAAAAACCACGCACATACATATGCATTGTGTTTCATTTTACCTTTAGGTTTTGCAACGTCGTATTGAGAATCGATTTTTAGATCTATATACTGATCCGAAATGTTCTACCCATCCAGTGGGGCGTATTGAAGTTTTATATCTATCAAGTTCACCCATTGAGAAAGACCTGTTGAATGGAAAGCGTAAAGGTAGGAAAAGTCTATCTATTCTTATTCGTATTTTTTCCACTGAAGGTACATATACTCTCTTGGAATACTGAAACTAAAATCTCTTTCACTTTAATTCAACTCTACCGTTCGATCCTAGCGAGTTGTCTACGATTAAATTAAGAGTGTCTGACCATGCTTATCCATCGTCTATCTCAATGTGCTGTGTTAGTAGAAGCCGGGTTAAGTTGGAAGAGGACTCAAGGTGATTAGACCAAGATATGGTCATGAAGTCCCTTAATGTTAGTCTGAGTCGTATGGCGAGATGTAGATTGCCTGGTTGGGGTTCCCGAGCCGAGAAAAATCAGTGGTTGAGGACTTGGTGACATAACTGAAAATCAGTCACAATGGCGCACATGTATTCATTTCTTGACTTCTTGTAAAGCTTGAATATTCTCACTAACCGTTGTTGTTAGACTGTTTATTCTCTCACACTACTTTGTCTACTTTGATATCACTTTTTCTATCCATCTACTCTTTGTATACTATTGTGAAGTGTGGCAACTTGAGCTTATGCAGCTATACACCAGGTTCTACGTTGATTTTGTCAATCAGTCAGTCAGTTAAATGAAGGGTGTATATGTGTTACTTGATTTTCTGGCTATAAATCTAGATATCAGCTATAGCTTATTGGTTGCACCAACTGTAATTTCAGTCAATAATTTTCAGGATTCAGCCATTCTTTACTTGCATTAGTTTGAGCAATTATCGCGAAATATTTGCGGTTCATCTGTTTTTACACAAATATTTACCAAGTTGTTTAACTATTTTAATCGGTTGTATATTTACGATTCGGTATTTTCAGGAGGATATACACAGAGTTGTTACTAAAACACTAAAATTTTTGTATATTACATTGCATACTAATTATTAATAAGATTTAGTTCTGAGCTTTACTAAATATATGATTACTGTCGTCTAAAATAAGATTTCGTTTATCAACATCTGGTTTTTTTTTTCCTAATTTAAGAAATTATTTCACTTCACTTATTACATACACTAGAAAGTTGTCGAAATAAAGATTTCTAATCGTTTGTGTAATTTAGAATTGAGTCACTAGGCTATAATCATAATCTTGTCCCACTATGAGTTGACCTATTCTGTAGAATCATTTTCACTTATCAAGACTGTCAAGAGACAATAGTGTTTAATAATGTTTCTGTTATGATCTACAGTATATATAACGATATAATGCTTCAACGCGATACGATTATCGATAGAACAATAACTTCTCAATAAGATGTTCATCTGACACCAGAAGAAGAAGGCAATGAAGTTATATACCCTTAGATGATCTTGGTCAGGGAAAACAAAGTAGCATATTAAAAGTGTAAAATAAACCGGTCAGAGTTCATTATCCTAAACCACGGTAAAAATAAGTAACATTATGAGTAACATATTATAAGTTATTCTTAGGGATTGGGCATCTCTAACAGTTTCTTTCATCACTAAAGTTTTTTTACATCTATTTCTGTTTAACATCATATCGTACCCATGATATTTTAGTGTTTATAAGCAACTGCTTGTTCTTTTCAAGCACAATTTTATTGGGTGGTCAGCGGTTTGCTTGAACTTTGGGCTATCTTATTTTAACACAAGATATATTGCATCAAATGTCTTTTTTCTAAATTGTTTTAATGTTCAATTGTGTCAACCAATCGCATTGTATACTCTCGCACGTTTTTAAAATCATTACAACCTATGGCTTCACAAGTTCATAGGTAAATTAAGAAGAAGCACCACAGTAGATGGCAACATGCTCTCAAGCTTATGACCATAGATCAAATGACGATTTTGGAAATGCTTAGCACAAACTTCAGGTCGTCATCGAAGAAAGTTGATTACTTTCAGTCACTCTTGTCTACAAATGTTTGTCGAAACACGGGTGCAATAACGCTACCGAAAACACGGCTTCGTAACCTGTATAATGATGATTTAATCTGCCTAAATGGTTTCAAATTATTTCGACAAGATCGAAGCTTTTCAATGAAAACTGGTCCTCCTCCACCTATTTAAGCCTCTGCTTCTCTAACGAAAACATTGAGTCCGTTACCATTAAATATTGTCCCAAACATTTGAGCGAATACAAACATATACAGATAACAAACACTTATGTCACATCTGACTGCAGTTTCTCAGATTTGTCAACTGTAGCTTATGAATTCACCGAATTTGCTGCTTTGATTCTGAGTAACCCCTTGTCTATAATCTGTGGAGATTTTAACTCATTTGACTGAAGTTTTCTCATATCATTGGGTCATGAAAATATAGTTAACTTCACTCGTGTCGACAACACCCTAGACTTAGTATTTACAAATGAACCTGGCATATATGAAGCCCGTAAACAGGCCATACTGCTAAATTCTGACCACTGTATTTTAAGTGTTTCACTTAAAGTTTACGGCAAGTTCCACAAGAAGGCTTTCGGATACCTTTCCAAGAAAGTTTATTACAGATGCTATTCACAAGACAATATATTACGTTTGAGAAGTATCCTTATGGAAAAAGACTAGGATATATTTGCTGATGAAGTTTTAGACAACACTATCACCAATATCACAAGTTATCTCAGATTCTGTCTCGATATTTACTGCCCTGCTAAAACAATCGACATGAGATTCGACTGACTTTCTTCTCCTCATCTCAAGAGGGTCCGGAGAGAGAAGGAAAGGTTGTATAAGGTGAGAGATCACACTGACGTTAGAAGACTTGACCGTCTAATTAAATCTGAAATACAACATCTGAATACTATTCACAACCAGAAGTTTCTATAGTGTAAGAACTCTTCTAATGTATGGAAATTATTTAAAGAGCTTACTGGTAGAAAACAGATGACAAAAGAAACTTGTTCAGATGTCTGCGCGTTAAACAAGTCATTCATACGTCGGCAAGCTGATTTCACCCTTCTGAATGTCCAAAGTCAAATGGACAGCTTCTTTCGTGGTTTTAATACACATGATTTATTTGTGTCTAAAATACTTGAATCCATCCCAAAGCTTAGGTCCTGATGGTGTTTCTAGTATTATATTTAGAAAATGTGCAGATATTTTACGTCATCCTCTCACAGATATCTTCAATGCATCGTTTTCTATAAACACAATACCCACAGCTTGGAAGGCGATCAAAATTGTACCTGTGCCTGAGTCATCTTCTGGATCAGATGTTACATTTTGACCCATCGCTATAACTTTCCCCTCTTTGAAGACAGTGGAGAAATTCCTTCTTCTTGTGCTTGAACCTTCATTGAAGATTCTCAGAGATTCAAAACAGTTTGCTTCCAAACACAGGAGAAGTACTTTAGATGCTACCACTGTCTTTCGTCATAATGTTGTTTCTAGTCTAGACAAAGGTATTAAATATGTTCGTTGTGACTTTTTGGATTACTCATCAGCCTTTGACTCTGTACCTAAACCACTCTTGTTAAATAAGCTTACCATAGTTCATACTGAGTCATGGGTTACAAAGTGGTTGTATTCTTATTTTTCTGAAAGGAGACAGTATACTGTCCATAAAGGGAAGCACTCAACTTCACTGCTTACTGAAGCTGGTGTGCTTCAAGATGCAATACTTTCGCCGTTTCTGTTTTTGTTATTTTTGCACGATCTAGCTTATTCTGTTGAAACTAATTTTATTAAGTATGCTGGAGATCTGACGGTGTCTATTCCAGTTAACTCTCATTTAGATTGATCTGGATTAAAGATTCTTGTCTCTTATTGACCAATGGTCTCTTGAATGGTCCCAAGTTAAACTCTTTTAAATGTCAGACTGTTAATTTTAGCCTCAGGTGTAAGGAAGACTTTTGTGAGCTGCTTAAGTTTCATGACGCCTGTTGCATTTATGGTATTACTGCAGAAAGTAAATGGAGTTTTACTTCTGATCTTTGTTGGACATCTATCTTGTTGACTTCTAAGAAAGTCTTTCGTTTAACTTATTACGTAAAGAAATTGAGGCTTTCTGGTATAACTCAACTGCTTTTTTTACAATTTATTAATTCCTGCATTTTACCTATTCTTCTATATTGTTCCCCATTAATCTTTCCTGGTCTTCTAAAAAAGGACTATATCATGTTGCGTAGGACTTTGAAAGCTGTCGGCATGGTGAGTGGTGTGCCTTTGGCCCAACTGATTAACACTGTAGTTGGTAGACATTTAAATTCTAGCAAGCAACTAACTATAGTAATTTTAACTGACACCGAGCATCCACTTCATTCACACCTCTCTCCTTGTACGTCCTCAGGGAGGACAAGAAGAAACTACATAAGACTATACGCTCGTACAGCCAAGTATAAGAATTCGACTATGCCTTGCCTAACATGCATATTATGTGAGAAGTGTTAAAACAGGACTGATATATCAACTTTGTAACAGTTAACAATCTCATTTAAATAATTTAATTAAAAATGTAAAATGTTCTCGTTTTCAATATTCTCTGCATTACTTAAATTCCCATGATAATACGATTCGGAAACGTTGTAAAGGAGTATAAACACACACATATTTTTGTTGTTGTTGTAATATATCATGCTGAGAAATGCAAATTGTACCACAAATTATTTGGAATGAAGTCAATTATTATTATTATTATCATTATTATTTATGCACGTTCTTTTTCGTGACCTTGATAAGGTTGGTCTATGTTCATATTTTCTTTACATACGTCATAAGTAGACGTTTGGAATGCTTGTTTCGTGAAAAACGCATATAAAGCTGCAAGCATCTTTTCAACTTTCTGTATTTTCACGATATATTACGCAGCCTATCTCCACTGTATTTTCTGTGCTATTTCATATTGTTAGACATCTTCATAAATTTCTACTATGAACGAAATTTGTTTTCACTCATATTCGATGTGGTATACTGTCTGATAAGTCATTCAAAAGTTTTGTACTCTAATTGTTCGGTTCGCACTTACATATCGCTGTTTGCACATTGAGTAGCTTAAAGAGCAAATATCTTCCTGCTCTTAAGTTGTTTGTGTAAGGTTTTGTTTCTTCTCTTCTTACTATTAAGATGTCGGTGTTAAACTTTGAGCGACTGGATGAATTATCTTACCCTACAGTTTAGTAAATTTTCTGTCAACATTACGCTTTAAAGCTTCCATTCATAGAACAAATTCTATTTATGAACAGTTTTCTTTACCATGTTTACCATGTAATTCTCGTATACCTACCATAGTAAAACATGAAATGTAGACACAAGTGAGTGGTGCATTCATGTTTACTTTTTGGTTAGGAAAAAAAATCAACCAGCTGTTTTTCTTTTCTGTAATATATAGATACCACACTATGACTGATTAGTGCCAAAGCTCTTGTTAGTATGAATATAAAATTCTCAGTTGCATAAACATTTCAAAGTATCTATAGAAAAAGGAATGACTGAGTATAGTCTATACTTTGTTCGCTCTTGGTATCATGTTATTTTGAAAAAAAACAACCCAATTTTATGAATGTTTTATCAGGTGGTAGTGGATTGTGGATTGAAAAGTAATCTACAATCAACGTACTGCTTGTAAGTAGTGTTTTATTTCGTACTCTTTATTGTTACAGAAACTGGTCATTTATTTTTGTTTATTCCTTCTCATCTTTGATGACAGTTGTAGATGAAGACGAAGATTATCCACTACCAGATGTCTACAGTGAACAAGACGATTCAGATCATGGTGAAGAGAGTGATGAAGACCAAATAGCTGAGTGCGAAATAGTCGGTCATAGTCGTCAAAAAAAGCTTGTTAAAGCCATGTCTGTCGGTGTAAGTAATCTCATTATTACCGTAAACTGATCTATGATGTTATTGGTTTGTAATATTATGCCGTACAATATTCTATCACTGATCGCCAGCATCATCATCATCATTATCAACATAGGACCAGGCATTACTGCGTAACGGTCCGAGTTGTCACACCTCATATCAGCACATCAAGTAAAAAGGTTGTGAGGTGAAGGATGAAGATAAGTGAATGCAGTAAAAGAAATATAAAGTACGAGAAGAAAGGAAAGAGGAGTGACAAAGTGGTGAGATTCGGTATAGCGTTGTTAAGACGAGGATAATGTGTGTATACATCTGCGCCACTGACTTCGATTCTGAGCCATATCACCTAGGGTCTCCAACCACTGGTTCCTCTTGTCCCGTGGACCCCAACCACCTAGTCTGCATCGTCCTACATGGCTTAAACCAACAATCAGAGACTTCATACATTGGTGCCATGTTTTAGTCTGGCCACCTCGGGCCTTTTTCCAGCCTGGACCCACCTCAGCCAACATTGTGTGACGAGTCAATCGGTAACTAGGCATACGCACAACGTGTCCCAACCATCTCAGTTGATGAAGGTCCACAACCTCGTCAACTGATTTACCTCTTCTCCCCAAAACTCTACACCTAACTTCTGCATTACTCACATGGTGACACCACGGAATACGTCCTATACTACGAAGGCAACGGTGGTCAAACACCTGAAGCCTTTTTGTATCCTCCACTTTCAATGGCCATGTTTCACAGCCATACAGTAGAACAGAGCGGACTGCTGTGCAGTACACGCGACCCTTAATAGACAAAAGAATATCACGGCGGCGCCATAGGTGGCGCAAATTTGCAAAAGCCAATCGAGCCTTTTGTATTTGTGCAGAAATCTCATCGGCGACTAACCCACTAACCCACCGCCAGCTGTTACATGAGGATACAGGTCAATGTTGTAAGCACACAACAGTTAACTTGTGAATTCACACCTACCCAATTTATTGGTATTCAATTGTCAGAGATGAATTACAAGTGTAATTCATTCTCTGGTTGTAGGGACTGATTGATTCCAAGTCCATCATTGCCAGCTGAAATCAGTTGAAGAAACACTGAAAACCTCTAAGATGTAAACAGCTGTTTTGTCTCAGTTTGCAGCTTCTCAACAGTGTGTACCTACGATACTGAAAAGTATGGAGCTTAAGACCATTAGGTCTTGTGACAATCAGGTTACTATTCTGCCACTTAGTTGTAATCCAGTTGTCCACATTCTCCTGCTTCTGTCAATTCGCTGCATACCGTCATCACTATTCAATGCCACCAGCGAGTGTTTGTTCTCACTCCCAACTTACTTGAATTCACATGAATTCATAACATGCATAAAGTTCTCATAGGTTTATGCAATAGCGTTTATACATACTATTTTATTGGATTAATTTACCATTGATTAGAGGTGATACTTTTGGTTTCATTTGTCTGCTTTTTATTCAACATCTGTAATAGATCATCATTTAAATGATGAAAATTCTAAAAGCATTAGTTTTTCTTTATTTTTGTTTTTCTGTAAAGTGTGTCAGTGTAAGTGTGAGCCTAATAATACTCAATGCATATTCTCTTCTAACATTTTTGTTTTTGTTTTTATGACCGCTAACAAAGTCAATTCGGTTAACTTACTAACTTCTCATTGGCATTCGTTTATTAGATACATATCATTCAATGAAACTATATTGTAACCCTTTGGAAACAGTTTTTCGTTCATAACCATACACTATGATAATAAATTTTATTCAAGACATTATGGAGTAAAGAATACTATTAACTTATCATTTGACTATCCTAGATAATCGTGGTTTGGCAAGTTATTATTGATACTAGGTAATAATTGAAAGTGAAGTGAACATTTGAGGCGCGGTATTTGGGTCTCATAACTCAGTTGGTAGAGCATGGGGCCTGAAACCCGGTAGTTGCTGGTTCGAATCCTACTGCAGCCCAAATTTTTCATTCCACCTTCAATCATCACACAACATCAATACTATTTATCTTTGATATATATATGTACAGCAAGTGAACTAGGATGAAATCACATTCAACCAAAATACCAGTTTTTTTCCAATGCCAATGAAACACGTTCTCATTATATTTAAAAAACCCAACAAACTCACGTAATTACTAACTTTGCATTGAATAATGGAGAGAAAGAGGTAAAACTTTCATACTAAAGTGGTTATCATTACCACCAAGTTGAAGGTGTCCATGTTTCGTATGCAAATATTCCGCTACTAGTTCATAGGATACTCTCATGAAAAGAAAATATCTTCTAGGCATTGATAAAATGTATATCAGAATCTTATTCGCTCTGCACTTCCATGTCCTCCATAAATGGACCACATAGATGTTAGTGTAATCAAGAGTGTTAATACACATTGAAAAATGTCACTGATATACAGCCTATAGAAGAAATTTATTTTATAATTTCACCAAAGTTATATGGATGATAAGATAATAATAATCCGTTAGTAAATAAGTATTTTTTGCGTTTGTGAATGCATTAGTACCCAGATTTTTGTTATTGGTACAAGTCTAAGTACTAACTTCTCATTAATAGTATTGAGAAAATAGTCATAAAGCTCATGCAGTTCATATCATAACCTTGGCTTTTTTGGTTTGGACTTGTGTGATACTTGCTGTTTGACGGTTGCAGTTCTTCTCGTGCACCACTGGCCTAGTGGATAATTGTTTGGCTTCGAAACGATGCGCACTGGGTTCGATTCCCAGTGAGAACAACCCTCACTGGGAGACAGGTACCTCCAGCTGACGAGCCCTAAATAGGACGAACCGCGCATCCTGGATTCCACTACTAACCACTATCCATCATTAATTGTTGGTCAGTGTCTGCAACAATTGAAACAGTGGTCAGTTCATGACACATTGTCGTGGAATGAAGAATAATCTATTTGGATTAATGCTTTCATATGCTTAACGGGACCTGAAACAGCACTTTACTTGGCTTATATGTGTGGCTCATTTTCTGTCTTATAACACAAACTCTTTTGTATTTAGAATCATTCAATAAGAATTGGTTCAGTTTCTTAATGGACAACAGTGTCATGAAACCTTTCATTACCCTCATTCTATTTTCCAAGCGTGTATATATTATGAGCCTTTTATTTCAGAACTTTTCAGGTAAATGTTTTACACACGTTTATTATTCTACAAATTTCTTCATCTAAAGCGCCGTTGAAGCATGCACTGAAGGGAAAAGAGTTAAATAGCACCTGTTGAAAAAAAAAGTAGAAACGTTCCTGATTGTCACTCTTAATTTACCCTTTATAAACAGATCTAGTTCCTCTACAATTATGAACCAGTGATCAAGTTCATAATACCAGACGAGTTAAAGATGGATTTAAAGTTTCAGATCATTTCATTTCTGTAGTTGATCTACTTCCGTCTAAACAATCGTTGCTAAGTGAAACAAAATGGAAAAGAGGAAGTATTTTAGTGGTACCTTTTTTTTAACGATTAGCAATTAGCCAGCAACATCCAAACCGTCTACATGACATCTTAACAATGCTACAAATCACTGACTTAAGAACATAATCCATATCTATGCAGATCGTTCAAGTTTCATCCTTTCCCTAGAAAGATTAACTGGTGAACAGTATGTGCTATTGTTTATTTGATGCTTCTTCTCATTCGAATTTCGTATGTCACCACATTTTTACACAATTAAGATAAGATAATATCATTCACTCCCAAAAACTTCATTGATTTTCTCTTTGCTAAACTGTAATAACCTATTTTCCAGTTTCTATTCAGATTTTCAAAAAAATTCTACTTTGCACCTTAGAAGTATGTTTTTCAAGAGATATGAAAATGGTTGATATACAAATAAAAATTAAGGGGATAGTTGAAATTTGTTGAAATGCAAACTATTCCCCGAAAAAAAACACTAGTGATCAGAAGAAGTATTGTACTGAAAATATGCCGAATAAGTTGTATTTCTAATCATCGAAGAAATCAATTTTATAATGAAAGCACAGGAAGACTCATGTTAATAACACTCATAAATTATTTTGAGATGAATTGCGATTTTCTAATCTAGAAGTAGTATTCATCGTGGACTGACATCAGTTGGGGAACCATTGAAAATCTGGGAGCACTGGACAGCTGTTTCGTCCTAGTATGGGACTCCTCAGCAGTACGCACCCAAGACCCGGCTAGGGATCGAACTCAGGACCTTCAGGTTCCATGGCGAACGCGTTAACCATTCAGCCACTGGGTCGATTTCCAGTGGTTCACAATTTCCAATTTCTGTCGATTCATGATATAGTGCGACTATCACCTAAGGTCTTCAGTTAGCATCCATTTCGCTTCCGACTGGTTGACCCTACAGGGCACGGTTTCTCATTAGAACTCCCTGATATCCATCTGGAAGCAAGTCACTAGCGAACACTATACAGTAATGTATTTTTTCTTAGATGAATGGGAATTTTTTAATTTAGAAGTTGTATTCATCATAGTAGGACAAAACAGAGCTGTCCAGTGCTCGCAGATTTTCAATGGTTCCCTACCTGATATCAGTCCATGATGAATACTACTTCTAAACTCATAAATTATATTCGATGGTTGCATAAAGTGAGAAAAACATCATAAATTATGCATGTGATAATCGTCTTCTTGACTTACAGTTAGTATGAATGATAGCTGATTAATTCTTAGCAATACAAAAGTAGGCAAATCATCCGAAAATGTATTTCACTAGTTATACAATTCATAACTACTTTCGATCAATTTCATTTTCATATGTACCCAAAATATGTAATACATTAATAAAATCAGTAGTCGATGTTAGTATGGTAGGGCCATGGAACATTTGTTTGTTTAAAGGTGTAGGCTTGCATAACTTAAACGATATTTTCACCCCCCCCCCCACTCTTATCGAACATTTCATATGAATCTTTAATATACATTACTTTGTGTAGTTAATAGTGTTTCAACATGTCGGTTCCTATCACTATAATTCAATCCTTTTTTTTTCTTTCTTGTTATCATTCAAATAGCAAAAACAAATCAAGCAAAAATTAATTGGCCTGTTGAAAAAATTAAAAATTAGTGATCCTAATGAGGTGAGTCAATAAATGGGGTTTGTTCTTATTGTTGTCTATTTCTACTATTTCCAGTCGCTCCATTTTAAAAATATTTAGTTTTATTTAAGGTTTAAAGTGTATATTTATGTGATTTGATAAGCGGAAAACAGTTTTTTTTTCTATCTATATTCCAGTGTTTCTTTAGTATATTTCTGATGAACACTGAATATTTGTGGAGTACCGCTACCCTATTTCTTTTTTCATTTCACATGCCAGTCTTCATATAGTATTAATAGTAATCGCCTACTAAAGCCACTGCTATCTCATATAGTATCATTAATAAGTATTCATTATGTCAAAATACTCACAATACTTTTGTTTGGTTGTTTATGTTTGTATGCCAGCTTAGATTTCATACCTAATATTATAGATACCATGCATTCTTCGAATTATGAAAATATCAGTTATCTTAAATTTTGTTTAGTGTAAATATGATCACGTTTATGTCTAAAGGTTTATATAACTGATTATTTCACCATATGATCACGGAAGCATGTTCGGTATTTAAAATTCCATTATCCACTAAATGTTTAGTAGGCGAGATATATGCATAAACATGCAGACTTACTAGTGGTTGCTTCTTATATATAATTAAATTGAAAGTATTTTTTTCGTTAAGAATTAAAATTGGTGGGTAAACCTCTTATTAGTATCTATCCTCAAGAGATACAACATTTAGTTCAAATTCAGTGGTCAACACTGGTGGTTGATGAAAGCCTGCCTGTCTTGCTGTCTTTCCGATCCTGGTCTTGACATCCTCATCTGAGCATATGCTGCCTGTAGTTGAAACGATGCTGCCTAGGTAGGTGAAAGTGACTACTTCCTTAAGATTTCTCCCCTTCATGGTGATTGGTGCTTGTTGTTGTTGGTTAGGTATCTTCATCACCCATATCTTCTCTACGTTGACCTGAAGTCCCGTCTTCGCTACCTCACCTCTTCTGTCAACTTGTTGGTTTTTGCCTGTAGATCTTCAAGTTTGTGTGACATCAGGCACAAGTCATCGGCGAAATCCAAGTCTTCTAGGTTCTTTTCATCTGTCTAGCCAGCGTATCCCCTTTTCTCGCTTCTCACTGTTTGCTGCATGATCCAGCCCACCACAATCAGGAAGATCATGGGTGATAGTAGACATTCTTGTTTTGCTCCTGTCTTCACTTTCGCTTCAAAGGCATCACTCAGCTTCCCATTGTGAATTACTTGGCATGTGGCGTCTTCATATAGTTGTTGAATGAGGTTGATAAATGTTTGTGGTTCTCAACAGTATTGACTCAACTGCGAAATTACTTCTCGGTCGACGCTGTCAAAGGCCTTTTCAAAGTCGGTGAAGTTGAGGTAGAGGGTTGACTGTCATTCCATACTCTGTTCTATGGTAATACGTAGCGTAGCGTTGCAATTTGATGCGCACATGATTTGTTCTTCCTGAAGTCAGCCAGGCTGTTGCGGTGGTAATTTTGAATTTAGCGTATCCTTTAGTCTCTCCAGGATGATGCGGCACAATATTTTGCCTGCTTTTGGTGGACAGGAGAGTGATTCCGTGCCAGTTCTTGCAAAGGCTTAGGTCTCCCTTCTTTGGGAATAAACTAATTAAAGTGACTATGATTTTCGTTTCCTTGCAATTGTTAACCATGCATGTCTAGTATAAACCAGCTAAGCTAAACCGAAAGTAAGAGAGTAAAAACCTAATCTCTAGTATTGTTTGTTATTGAACATTACACGAAGTTCTAATGAAGCTATATTACTGACAGAACTGAGCCTAATATTTCTGGTAAAGATTTATCACGTTATTGTACCTTTTTTTCTTAACTTATTGAACTCTTTATCATCGAAAAGTTGAACATTCTGTTAATCTGTGCATTCATTCATTCTCTTTTTTCTCATATCTTCAGTTTGCTTACCGTGTTTATACTGCTGGGAAGTTTGTCATCATGAAATTGATGCATTACTTAGGCGGCCATTAAACATATTTCATCAAATTGTTTTAGTCCTTTAAATATGTCTTTGCGCCTTTTAAAAAAAATGTTTTAAAACTGACATTTCTGAAGCTAAGAACAAAACAGCGAATTAACGTTACGCCGAATGGAAATAAAGATATAGACGCTTAAAAATACAGTTTTTGTACTGGTTGTTTAAACTACCGGTCAGCATGATTACACTCCGTTTTGTATTCATCCCCAAGTGCGGACTAGGCGCTAATGTACCACCAATTAGTGCGTTTAATCCCATTATTACTAACATTATTCAGATACAGAAATTATTTCTTTTAAAACTATTGCACGGAGAGCGTATGTGTTGAAATATATTTTATTATTATTATTATTAGTCCCTTGAGTTCCTAGTGGAACATAGAGCTTCAGTAGCACGTCTCCAGTGACCTCTGTTCTCTGAGATCTTTTGAACCTGGTTCCACGACAGCCCAGAAGCTCTCATTTCCTCCTCGCACAACCTCCTCCATGTCACTCTCGGACGTCCAACTCGTCGCCTCCCATGGGGATTCCACTCGAGCAACTGGCCTGACGCGTGATGTCCTCAGTCGGCCTTCTCAGTGCATGGCCAATTCATCTCCACCTCTTCCTGCATATTTGTTGGGTGATAGGTTCTTGGTTGGTTCGTTCCCAGAGTTCCTTGTTGCTTGTTCTTTCTGGCCATCTGATCTTCAGCAGCGAGCGTAAGCAGTTATTGATGAATGTCTGTAGTTTATTGGAAATGCCTTTCGTGACGCGCCAAGTCTCTGAACCATACAGAAACACTGACTTGACTGGGTTGGTGTTGAAAATCCGTATCTTGTTCTACATGCTGAGTGCAGAAGGTCTCCACACTGGTTTCAGGCTAATGAACACCTGTCTTGCTGTCTTTCCGATTCTGACTTTGACATCCTCGTCTGTGCCTGTGCCGCCTGTAGTTGAAACAGTGCTCCCTAGATAGGTGAAGGAGGCTACTTCCTTTAAGTTTCTCCCGTTGACGGTGATTGGAGTTTGTTGTTGTTGTTTGAGTTGTTGGTGCGGTATCTTCATCACCTCTGTCTTCTCTATATTCACCTGAAGTCCCGTCTTCGCTGCCCTACCTCTTCTGCCAACTTGTTAGTTTTCGCCTGTAGATCTTCAAGTTTGTGTGACATCAGACACCAGTCATCGGCGAAATCCAAGTCTTCTAGGTTCTTTTCCTCAGTCCAGCGTATTCCCCTCTTCTCGCTGCCTACTGTTTGCTGCATGATCCAGTCCACCACAATAGGAATATCATGGGGGATAGTAGGCAACCTTGTTTCACTCCTGTCTTCACTTCAAAGGCATCACTGAGCTTCCCATTGTGGATTACTTGGCATGTGGCATCTTCATATAGTTGTTGAATGAGGCGGATAAAGGTTTGCGGTACTCCGTAGTAGTGAAGCAGTTTCCAAATTACTTGTCGATCGACGCTGTCAAAAGCCTTCTCAAAGTCGATGAAGTTGAGGTGAGGTGTAGAGTTGACTGCCATTCTATGCTCTGTTCTATGGTGATGCGTAGTGTAGCGTTGCAATTTGGTCTGCACATGATTTGTACTTCCTGAAGCCTGCCTGTTCCTGTCGTAGTTTTGAATCCAGTGCATCTTTAAGCCTCTCCAGGATGATGCGGCTTAATATTTTACTTGGGGTGGACAGGAGAGTGATTCGGCGCCAGTTCTTGCAAACACTGAGGTCTCCTTTCTTCGGGAGTTTGACAAGGTAACCCTTTTTCCAGTCGCCAGGTACCTTCTCTTCCTTCCACACCTTCTGCAATAATGGTGTGGTGTGAGCATGTCCGCTGTTGTCTCTGCATCTGTTCTCAGTGCTTCTGGCGGGATCCCATCTGGTCCTGCTGCATTCCCACATTTCAGTAGCTTTATGGCGTTCAGGACTTCCATTTTCGTTGGGGGATTTATGTTCACTTGTAGTTCAGCGGCTGCAGGTGGTATTTGTGGACGAAGTGCAGGTGGTGGTTGTGGTCGATTCAAGAGCTTCTTGAAGTGGTTGGCCCATTGTTTCCTCTGTTTCTCTTCTTTTGTAATTAAATTTCCTTCTTCATCTTTTATTGGTTTCATCTGTGTTGATCTCTTCCCTGATAGCAACCTGGTTATTTGATACAATGTTGTCAGGTCTCTCTTGCTCCTACCTGCAGCCTGTTCTGCTTCACTTGCCAGTGTTTCGTAGAAGTTTTTGTCTTTGCGTGCACTCTTCTTTACTTCTTTGTTCAGTGTTTTATACATTGTGCTCAGTTCCTCTTGTCGTTGAGCATCCTTGCACTGGTTTATCTTCTGCTTCACCATCCTCCTCTCCCTCCTCTATCAGCTTCCAGGTATCCGTCGAGATCCATTCCTTGTCTTCTTTCTTCTTCCTTCCTAATACTGTTGTGCAGGTTTCTTTCCACATCTCTTTCAAAGACTTCCAGTGTTCTTCCACACAGGTTTCTTCAGAGATGTTGCTCGATATCTCCCATTTTGTCTTGATGGCTGACCGACGTGGGATTTCCTTTGTAGTTTCATCCTTCAGTTTCCGAGTGTTGTACTTGAACTGCGGTCTATCGCCAACTTCCTTGAAGGCTTTCAATTTGATTTGTAATGTTCTTTGCACTAGACAGTGAGTGGTGTGAACCTACATTTGCTCCTCTTCTTGACCTTGTGTTAAGTAGACTGTCTCCATTTTCTTGAGATGGAGATGAAGTCGATCTGATTTTTAGTGTGTCCTCCTGTCTGGTGAAATCCATGTCGCTCGCTTTGTAGATATCCTTGTGCTTGAACACACTGCCTGGCCTCCAATCACCAAATCGTTGAATGCACAGAATTCTGCAAACAATTCTCCATTCTCGTTCATCACCTCACTGAGAGCTTCTCGACCCATGGTTAGTTCTCTTCCTGTGTTGTCCCCTCCCAGTTTGGCATTCATGTCGCCCATTAGAATTTTGATGTCGCCAACTGGGGTGGGTCTTGTCCAGTGTTGATTGTAGTTGTCTGTAGAATTTCTCCTTTTTCTCTTGCTCTGCATTATTTGTAGGTGCATAGTGTAGCATTGTATGATTATGACCTTCCTTCCTTCGTTTTGAGTTGAACCTTGCTGTCATGATCCTGATCCTGGAGGAGATTGGTTCCCACTGCATGAGAGGGAGCCTTCGATGGTGTTGGGGACATCATGATAGCCACTCCATAACTCAGTGTGCTCATGGTTGTCGTGTCGTCTAGGTGACAATATTGGAGTAGATTATTGATTCTCCAGTTGACAGTTTGGAGAGTCCACTCCCATTCCATCTGCTTTCGCAAATCCCAAGCACTTCAATGTGATACCTTCTCATCTCTTTTGCAATCTGGGCTGCCCTACTGGGTTCAAACATCGTACGGACATTCTATGTCCCCACGTTTACTTTCGCTTTCATCGAGGGAGATAAGACACATCGGCCAATTGGCTTCCTGAAGGCTTTCACCAACTGGCGTCATTTCGCCTCTCCGATTCCAGCGGGGAATAAGTTTGTTTTCATTTTTTATATTTTATTTGTGCTTTGAAGTTTGTTTAGCGGTTAGATTTGTTTTCCGGGGTAGGGTTGCTAGCCCTATACGCAACCTTCCCTGTATACCCGGGCTTAGGACCGGCTAGTAACTAGCGAACTAGTTAACCAGGCTAGTTAACCTGCTAAAAATTCCATAATGTATCACACATGTTGTTTAAACCAAAGTTCCTACTTCAACTTGCTCGAATTCGGTTTATTCACTTTTCTCTATGTGCTCCTTTGTTTCCTCTGTGTTGTGTTAGGTGTATCAAGTAAAGATGGCAGAGAATATTACAGCCTTTATTTTTCGAATAATTTGTTCATACTTTTTATCGTTATTACTTTGATGATATTAGTATTTTTCGTTACTTTGCGTTATGATTTCTATCTAATGTGTAATGGATTATTGGTCAGTTTAAACGTACCCACAAGATAGTTATATCTTTTTACTGTTACATTATTGTGTCGTCACAAGGTAACTCTGCATACCGGTTGACAAGTTCTGATTTTACATGTTTGTTTTTTTTCGTGAAAAAGATTCCTGAAGTAACATGAACTTTATTATAAAAGTCAAATTTGTGTTGTAGCAAACATTTTCATCTTGAAATTAGCGTTTATGCAGATCTATGAGATGCATATACACTTGTTTTTGCGTATATACATATCTTGCTGTTTACTTTATTATCATCGGCTTATTATTTGATCGAAGAATACCTGGTTTTCTCTCTGTAGTTTTTGTTTAGGACTAAAATCGTAAATATGTTTACTGAGCTCTTGGCTGCCAATTCGTTGGTAGTATATAACCTGTTTTTCACTTCAAAAAAATCTGCATCTTTATCAACACTAACAGTAGGATAAAAGCATAATTTAAAAACCTTTCTAATAAAATCACAAGCGTATACTTAAATGTTAGGTTGTTGAAATGTGACCTTTTTAACAACTATTTGCCTTATTCAGGACTCCAGCAGTGAAATATTTGATCAGAATGCTTTCAGGTCACTAGCCTATCTATATCTTTCTAAATTGTAGTCCTCATTTAGTTCTGTGAAATATTGTAGCAATCCATCTTTGAATAGATTGACGGGTACAAAGTTTTTTTTTTAAAAACGTAACCAAATCAAGTGTTCACGTTTAGGAAGTGTTTGTATTTTCTTCTTTCTAAGTTTACAGTGTATATGGTTTTCATATTCATAGAAAACTCTGGTTCGTACCTTATCTGTACTTTAAAACATGTGTAGTTATATAGTTTTCATGCATATATATTTCGAATGTTTGTAGGTTGGTCTAGATGTGGCTGCTACATCAAAACTATGGGATGAAATTGATCGTATGGCAACAGCTAGTGATATGGAAGAAGATTCAGATGCTGAAAGTATTAACTTAATCTCAATTCAGAGTACACCACGTCCAACTCTTCGTCCATTTTTTGCTACAGCTGGCAGTTCTGATGATACATTGAGTGCGGTTAGTTAAATTTTGTTTATTATTCACTACATCTATTTACTCTACCAATTAAGCACTTAGTAGTAGACTTTTGAAAAGATTTATGTCTGTTTATTTCGTCTTATCGCGTGATCGCTTTCTTCTTATAAACCTGTGATTTTAATGACTCCATTAGGAACCATTTATTTGCATTGTGGAACAGTAATCTGGTTATCGATATGTAGTTGCCGTATGGTATCGTGAACCTCATCATAATATTTGCGATTCACGACTCGCTGTATAATATCTAACGTGGCTATGAAGTCGTTTAATTTCTTACCCATTCTGTCTTCTCTCTTTTCAATCTTTTATTGCTTTTTCTCTTCTTAAAATAGTCTTTTTTAGTGATGTTATGATTTGAACTGTGGTAAAGTGATCTGTTATGACTTTTTACCAATGATCTAACTCTTCAGTCAGATTAATACACAGGAAGCCTAGCAGTAACCAACTAGATTGTAAATGTTGGTGAAGTTTACACTCGTATTTTGAATATCGCTAGACTTATAAGTTGGACACTATTCAGATACTTTAAATCACAAACATTAAAACGTCGACAGTACGAAATTTATTCACCTTTTACTTCCCGTGAAAGAAACGTGGGTGGAAAGTATTATGTAATCTATGTGTAAATTACTACAATAGTATTTGTCAACGTTTCTTTAAAGGTTAGCCATCTACAAGAATTGGCTACAAATAAGTGTATCACTCGAGTGAATCATGGATAAATATTGTCAAACCGAATTAATAAATTCTAATACTTTGACAAGGGTATTGTCTCTTGGTGCTTTGTGACTGAGGTATTCTAGAAGTAAGTGGTGGGAGGCCCTTCGTGATAATGCTAATCATGAAGACTGCATTGTTTAACTGTTTCTACTTTCGTCTCAATCACGATCTTCTCAATATTTCCTTTGCTAACGTTTCATTTCTAGTTTAGTCTTATTGTTTTTCCTCCTTCTTGTTTTCCCTGTTTCAGTCTTTGCTGGAACAAATTTAATATGATGTAAAGTTTTTAGTCAGTCAGACTATGTGGTTTATCAAATGAGTAAATTATCAGATTTGTTCAATCCATATGAAAATATAGATAGTACAATACTGAATGCTGAATTATTAAATCTTATATTAGACACAACTGGCAGTTTAACTTCGGGATTTTGTGTGAAAAAAACGTACTGCACTAATGTAATTGTTCGAAAAAATCAATCCGAAAATATAACAAACTTATTTCTTTCAATGTTTTGACTACCTTCTCCGCCTAAGTGGATGATGATAGTTTGGTATAGATTACCAAGCCTGGTGATGGGAGTGTTCATGGTAAAAAATCAAAGCTAAGGGAATCATCATCCTGAACTACAAATCTTTTCCACCTTGGGTGGATTGATTATACTGCTATCCTACACATACACAAAACCATTGGAAGAAAAACTATTAATATATTTTTGACGTTAATGGGGATTTTAATATCGAGATAGTATTCATCACGAACTGATACTAGTTGGAGAAGCATGAAAAACTTGGGAGCACTGGACAACTGTTTTGTCCTAATATGGGACTCCTCAGCAGTATGCACCCTCTGGGGAGTCCCAAATAGTTCTTGCAGCTTTTCTTTTGTAAGACAAGTAAGATTGGAAATATTCGGCTACAATATAATTCGTTTAGAGTTTTATAAAACTGTCTGGGGAAGGTGTAATTTGAAGTATATAACTGACAGAACTCAACTTTCTCACGTTAGCCAGTAATTTTGCATCTAAGGTTAACAAACTCATTTAACCTTTTAATTGTGTATGAAGGGAGTCTTCTCATCAGAAACTTGAAACAATTGCTTCCCGTTATGAATTTTGATGAAGCAGTGAGAAGACGTAATTTGTCTGAATTGTGTAATATATTTGCACAAAACATTTTGAACAATCTGGTCACACACCTACTTGTCATTTATATAAAAGATTACAGAGTTAAGGAGTAGGAAAATAATTATCGGTCAAATGAGAAGTCTATATTGAGCGTCAAAATAACAATGAAGATCAATAAAGCAATAAAAACCTTGGGTTCAAAGACGAATTCACCAAAGAATGTTTAATGTGATGACAAATTGTTTTTGAACGCACTATGATGGCTTCAACCTTCTAATGGCTAATACCTCAAGAAACTCTAAAATACGACCCCAAAAGATCTTATAGATGGGCGCAAATTACGTTTATACATCCACTTTATGCCCCGTTTCAATATGTTTAGCTATTGAGGAGCTCGGACGTTTACTTCTAGCATCAGTTGGGTCAGGTGACTCTGTTTGTTTCTGAAGCCACTTGGGACTATGTTCTATGGCTCTTATTTTTGATGTATGTATGTATGTGTGACCATTCAAATCGATAGATACAATGGTGTGACTTCATTTTTCGCCTGTTTCAAGGGCTTTGACGGGTATATAGGCCTCAAATTTTGAATTATCCGAACCTTAGCTGCATAATACATTTTATATATGGCAGCGTGAAGTCTCTATCTGACTATGTGTATGATGTATGTGTGATATAATTGCCTTGCAAGCAATTTTGAATGTATATGTTTAGTTTTATACGAAATAAGTAAAATAATTGCTAAAATTATGAATCTGTAGTCAATTATATTAGTGAAGGATATACTGTACATTATGAAGAAAGAGAAGCCAATTAGCATTCAGAAAATGATGTATCTCTAGTTGGTTATATCTTTTACTTTAACCAAAAACCTATGAAATCTCAGGTTATGGTTTTCAAAACAACTGGCAATTTTGACTGGCGATCCCGGGTACATGAAATTAACAAAATGCACTCAGCCACCTTGTGCACATTCATGCAGTAGGCAATGAGATATACCTATTTTGTGAGGGATAGTGACACAACCTGACTACTCAGACCTTGGTAGGTGGAGCAGGATTCGAACTCGTGACCCACTGGTTGATATTCATCCTCGTAAACCAATTAGCTACAGTTCCAAAGTATATAGTAGGCTATCTAATCATCTTTTACACACTCAACTCCTTTTTTATTATCTAATCTTCCTCCTCTTCTCTAACTACTTCTTTTTATTCCTGTTATTATCACTATCGCTGATATTGATTCCCATTAGTAACTTGTGGTAACTTATCAGATATTCTATTTGTTGAGATTCTGTATTGTTTCTTCTTGATATAATCATAACCGTCATCTGTCTATGGAGAAAAGATTTGTGACTTATTATGATTCATTTCATTCGATTCCAGTGATATAGAGGAAAATTGAATAATATTCGACACAAATTTTCTCTACCCATACAAATGTCAATCAGAAACATATCACACACAGACCATGAAAATATTTTGCGGCCACAATGATGTAACTCTTCCAGCATTTGATACGTCTAATAAACAAGCTAAAATGAAACTACAGCCTAATGTAGTGCCCAGGTTTCACTCTGATACTAATGATATTTACTTGAGATCAATCTTATAGTGCAGTTGAACTCCTGTCTTACCTTAATTCTAATATTGTATGACTTTTTATCTTTGTTTTATGGCTTTTTTAAAAACTATTAACAAGATGGTTTTCATTATTTTGTCTTCTTTCTCATCGCCTGCTTCGATTTCTGGATGTTGAAGTGTCCAAACAAATTGAGCCGTTGCACAAAATAATTTCAGACCATATGTTAACAATATCTGTCTGTGTTTCAATTGTATGTTTAAATCCTGCTGCTAATTAGGCTTTTTGTTGTCCTACTTGAATCTTCATCTTTCAACACTAAGACCAGTTCATCATCAGTGTTTATTCTTTTGTAAATTTGCACGAATTTTTGTAATAAGATGTAGAAGTAAATTAATAAACAGCACAAGCTCGAAGATCTACAGGCAAAAACCAACAAGTTGACAGAAGAGGCAGCGAAGACGGGACTTCAGGTCAACGTAGAGAAGATATGGGTGATGAAGATACCCAACCAACAACAACAAGCACCAATCACCATGAAGGGGAGAAATCTTAAGGAAGTAGTCACTTTCACCTACCTAGGCAGCATCGTTTCAACTACAGGCAGCATATGCTCAGATGAGGATGTCAAGACCAGGATCGGAAAGACAGCAAGACAGACAGGCTTTCATCAACCTAAAATCAGTGTGGATATCTACTGCACTGTACTAAGCATACAGCGTAAACAAGATCCGGATTTTCAACACTGATTCAGTCAAGTCAGTTCTTCTATTTGATGTTCAGAAACTTGGTGCGTTATGAAAAGCATTTCCAACTAAGCGCAGACATTCATCAACAGCTGCCGCCTACGCTCACTCGATACTGACAGCTAAGATCAGATGGATTGCGAGAAAGAATAAGCAACAAGGAACTCTGGTATGGCAACGAACCAACCAAGAACCTGTTACTTAACAAGATTGACATGGAGGAGATCATGTGAGGAAGAAATGAAAGCTTGTGGGCAGTCGTGGAGACAGATTGAAAAGACTGCAGAAAAGAGAGTGCATTGGAGGTGTGCTACTGAAGCTGAGTGTTGCACTAGGAACCCAAGAGACAAATAATAACATAGTAATTGACCTGAATGTTTGTGAACAGTGCACAAAACACCTATGATATTTTTTTCTGAAATTTGTTTTTAACTTACACTATATCCATCCTTTTTGCGTTGTGTTTACTCATGCTTATCGTATCGAATGCCATTTAGATACATTCATCTAAATTTCATGTTACATTACTCGAAAATAATCGAAATGAAATTTCTACCCTTATACTAATATTTATATATACCGATCTTGTTACCTGTTATCATCCAACCAGACATATTAGTTATTTATTTATGACTACTACCATGTGATAAAGTGTTATTACTTGTTGGTTGAACTTTGATTATCTTCGTTCATTCAATCGTTGTGTAAGGCACCTGAAAGTCTATTTTGTAATATTGTTATCGTATTTTATACGATTAGCGTCGGTGTTGGTAGTTTTCGCCTAGATCCTTGCAATTCCTTTCTTTGGAAACCTCAGTTGTTTTATTAATGGTGTACATTGCACACCCAGAGTTACAAAATTCCGATATTATTAGACTTCAACTCTATATTTTCCCACTGTTGTTAAGTGAATTCATTTGAATAACCACTGAAACTCAGAGAACCGATAAAAAACTACTTTGTTATTGTTTTGTCCTCTTCAGTTGTGCACACCTTTGACCCTTGATTCAGTAAAGTCAGAGACTTGAAATTTCTTATTCGAGATTTCGTAATCAATGTCTGTTTAGCTTGATATAATACTTGCATTCTCCACTGTTGTAGTAACAAGTTATCGTTAAGTATACATTGGCTCATTAGTTTAAGGAATTGACTTTCAACCAGTGGGTCACGGGTTCGAATATCACTCTACTTGCTGAGGTTTGGAAAGCCAAGTAGTATTATAAGCCATCATGCAATAAGTGTGGCTTACCACTAACTGCACTAATAGGCATAAGATTGTCAAGTGGATTTAAATTTTTTTGGATAAGGCTTATATATTGTTTCATGCCTACACTTAGAGAAGGGTTTTATTTTATTCCTTCGATTACTAAAATAGAAATTTTGGTTGATACTACTGTTTTGGCGTAGAAATCTTTTGGAGAGTCAATAACTTGAATTGTATGTCATAAATTTGAGTTTAAATTTGCATCAGTGTTAAAAGAGATATCGCAGTCGCCGGTGGTTCTATTTAGATGATCTCACTTATTTATTTTTCTCTCTTTTATTCAAGAAATTCATGAGCTGTCGAAATTTGATTTAAAGTGCAGTATAAAGAACGTTTTGTAAATCAGTTTTTGTTTGTTATATAGAGATTAGCGGTAGCAGTAATAGTTGTAATAGTAGATTAGCTTTTTCATACTTGTAGCGTGAGAAAAAAAGGTTAATGATTTACCACATTTTCAATATGTTTATCTATTCTGCGTACACGATCACTGGATAAAACAAACAAATTAACTCTATACTAAGCAAACATTAAATTATAAGCTTACTCTGGTTTAAAAATATTTATTTATGCTAACTGTAAGTCTGTTTCAAACAATGGTGATATTTGGAACTACCTTTGAGTGAATTTGAAGAGTGACTTAATGTTTTATTTTATTTGGATGTAAACACATCAGACAAACCGATCAAAATGACATAATACTGCCGTGAAATGAACTGTTTCACAATTATTCAAATCAGAAATGGAACGGGTTTAGCGTTAAGCGTCAGTCTTATAATCACTAGGATGTAAACATGTCCCAGGTTTATTATTATTATTATTATTAGTCCCTTGGGTTCCTAGTGGAACATAGGGCTTCAGTAGCACGCCTCCAGTGACCTCTGTTCTCTGAGATCTTTTGAACCTGGTCCCACGACAGCCCACAACCTCTCATTTCCTGCTCGCACGACCTCCTCCATGTCACCCTCGGACGTCCAACTCGTCGCCTCCCATGGGGATTCCACTCGAGGGCCTGACGCGTGATGTCCTCCGTCGGCCTTCTCAGTGCATGGCCAATCCATCTCCACTTCCTCCTGCATATTTGTTGGGTGATAGGTTCTTGGTTGGTTCGTTCCCAGAGTTCCTTGTTGCTTGTTCTTTCTGGCCATCTGATCTTCAGCAGCGAGCGTAAGCAGTTGTTGATGAATGTCTGTAGTTTATTGGAAATACCTTTCGTGACGCGCCAAGTCTCTGAGCCATACAAGAGCACTGACTTGACTGGGTTGGTGTTGAAAATCTGGATCTTGTTCCGCATGCTGAGTGCAGAAGATCTCCACACTGGTTTCAGGCTAATGAACACCTGTCTTGCTTTTCCGATTCTGACTTTGACATCCTCGTCTGTGCCACCTGTAGTTGAAACAGTGCTTCCTAGATAAGTGAAGGAGGTTACTTCCTTCAAGTTTCTCCCGTTGACGGTGATTGGAGTTTGTTGTTGTTGTTGGTGTGGTGCGGTATCTTCATCACTTCTGTCTTCTCTATATTCACCTGAAGTCCCGTCTTAGCTGCCTTCTTCTATCAACTTGTTAGTTTTTGCCTGCAGATCTTCAAGTTTGTGTGACATTAGCACATAGGTCATCGGCGAAATCCAAGTCTTCTAGGTTCTTTTCCGTCGTCCAGTGTATCCCCCTCATGTCCCAGGTTACAAGATTTTATTCAGTTAACATAGACACCACGTATTAATTTGCATCTGAATTCTGTTTTTATCAAATTCTGACAAACTAGCAGTCAGTTATAATCTAAATAATCTCTCTCATATATATATATATATATATATATATATATATATATATATATATATATATATATATCACTTAGTGAAGGTTTAGACCCGTGGTTATGGCAGACGCTTTCTGATTATCATCCTCTTTTGAATTGATTTCCATGCATCATTTCATAATAGTAGTAAAAATACAGTGGTCAGTTCCCCAGTTCGAAATTTCCTATGACTAGCGAAGAGTAGAAGGACATACTTTCGACGCTGAGTGACATAAGGAATAAGGTGCTAAAGGATTTAATTGCATACATCTTGTTGATAATTTTAGTGGCTGTAAAATTTCCCAGGTTGGCATTCATCACGGACTGACATTAGTTGGAGGAACATTGGAAATCTGGGAGTACTGGATGGCTGTTTTGTCCTAGTATTGGAGTCATCAGCAGTGTGCATCCATGGCTCCATCCCAAATTAAATCGATCCAGTGCTCATTGGTGACTTGCTTCGAAAGGTGATTCTTGAAGTTCCAGCGAGAAGTCGTGGCAAGTGGATTGGATGTAGGTCGCGCTATATCATGAACTGACAGCAGTAGAAAAAATGGAGCTTTGGATTCCGACCCATTGGCTCAGAGGTACTATGTTGGCCACGGAACTTGAGTGTTCTGACGGGGTCTTGGGTGCCCACTGCCGAGGGGTCTCATACTAGGACGACACAGCTCTTCAATACTCTCAGGTTTTCAATGGTTCCCCAACTGGCGTCAGTTCATGATGAATGCCAACTTGAAAAATCACTAAATCCCCCACAATCCCCTAATTAAATGTAAAATTTATGTTTAGCCAATTTTAATAATTCCCACTGTTCCCTAAGGATGTAACGAGATTGATTTATATAGTTAATAGATGTATGATGAATATACTGTGATGACGGTGAAATCTTAAATGTACTTTTTAAGCTTCTTGATAAATATACTTTATCAATTCACGTTGGTCACTGATGGAATGCAGTTTTTTTTCATTTTTAACGTTTATCATCATCAGGTTACATAGAAACTGTTTTGCATTGAATCATTATTCTCGTAAATAGCCATAAAATGTAGTAATCATTCATTCATCTTTTTAAAATAATTGTTTTACTGTGTACAATTGTGAATGATAGAAAGTGTCATTTTGTTGATGAACATCTGAATGTCATAGATTCCTTCAGTTCATTAGATTTACAGTAAACGTTAAGCTTGTAATGTAAACAGTAAAGAAATGGTTGTACTAATCAGTTTTTCTCTCTTTGGAAAGTGAAAGGGCTCAAAAGAGCTACCACATAACCTATTGCTACTACTTGTACCCTAATAGGCATCTATGAAGCCATTCAGGTACACGTTATAGTAGCACATTCTTTACCCTTCATTTTCTTGTTGCAACTTAGCGTTACTATTCGAAAAAGTTGTCCCATTAAAATTAGTAAAGTATCGTTTCTTCTGCAGTATTGTATAAAATCATGTAATTGTTAGAGCTGTGTAGCGAAATATAGGCTGTCGGATTTAGACGAGTGAGACAGACGAAACAGCACTGCAAGTAACATGGTTCAGCTTCAGTCACAGTAGTATAGATGCATGCATGAATACATGCCTTATTTTCATCTCGCTCGGTATATTGTATTTTCGTTATTCGCCTTAACACCTTTTCTTTCTCGTTTTTTGACCGCCTACTTTCTATTTCATATTATTCGCATCTCTTTTTCTTATTATCGTTTACATTGATTTACTGGTGTGAGATGAGGCAACTCGCACGGTTAAATAATAGTAAAAGCATTCATGTTGGCAATAACTAACTGATAGATTTGAATAGATAGGGGGATTTTCGTAGTAATGCAGACATTGTTTTGTTGCCTAAAGCGGTAATACTCATGCGTTTTTTTTTCTTAGCAATTTATAATTCCTATTATGTACTGCATTTTAAGTGAGACAAACATCTTTAAAACAAGATTATCTGTTACTTGTCATTTTAAATGGTCCATTATCTAACCTGAGATGTTCACTGAAACTTATGTTTTTCATCAGGATGCCGGAGCTAAACTTCTAAAACGCTTGCAAAGAGAATTACTTGCCCAAAGTGAAACAGATACATCGCCCGATACTGTACAACTGCGTTCCATGCTTGCATCTGTTGGCAAATCTGTTAGTCTTCAAAAACCGTTTGGAAAGTCTTCTGGGAAATCTGATTTATTACCATTAGAACAATTTACTCCACCACCGACTTCATCTACAGTCACATTTGCTGATACTGGGCCTTTACAATCTACTAATTCTTCACGCATCCACCGAAGTGGTGGCCATAGTATGAGTCTAGCTGGGGGAAGATTTGCTAAGCGCTTTGCACATATTAGGCGAAGGTCTAACACAAACTCATCAGCAAAACATATTTTTGGAATGCCAAGATCTAATAAATCCAACTATATCCATGAATCTGAACCAACTATTCAAGAAACAGAAAATATTATAGAAAGTGTAAGTTGCTATGCACGTTTTCTGTTTTGGTCTTTATTTTTTTGATGCATTTATTGGTTCAACATTTCTGCTTTTATTTCCATTTCGCTTTTAAGGAGTCATCTGATGATCACTCCCCAACTGAAGGGGGTCTGGATTCTACTTTCTCACAAGGTCAGGACTCAGTCTTCGATCCTCTCGGATTACCTGATTCTGATTTATGTCGAGCTCTACCCACCTCATGTTCTACGCCAGAAGCCAATCGCAGATGTACTTCAAGAGTAGTTTCCAATGAAAATCCCTATGTGAATGCTGAAGAGAAAAAAATACACCAGAATCTTTCAACTGATTTTATATCCGATCATATGAATAGTGAAAACAAGTATCCTGAGACCTCATTACGCTGCACAGATGTGGATACCTTAAACTGGGTATGCTTTTTATACATATAGTTTGTAAATATATGTTTATGTTTTGAATATGGAAGTTTGTCAATTAGGCATCCTTAACTACTCGCTTATTGATGCTGCCTAGATTTGTGTACATCTTAAGAGAGACAGTGATGCGTTTATCTTTTTTTCCCATCGAAATCTATCGTGTCAGTTAATCAAGTAGTTAAGGTTAGTTTCCATTGATTTAATGACAGAAATGGCTATTATAGTAGGATAAATCCGCTAGTGGATCTCTTTATTTAACGTATACCACAATGTTACAGAACTTGGCACGTCACGAAAAGCACTTCCAACAAACTACAGACATTCATCAACAGCTGCCTACGCTTGATACTGAAGATCAGATGGATTACCAGGAAGAATAAACAACGAGGAACTCTGGCATGGCAACGAACTAACCAAGAACCTGTTACCTAGCAAATATGCAGAAGAAAGTGGAGATGGATTGGACTAGGCATGCAGTAAGAAGACCATTTTGGGACGTCACGCGCCAGACCAGACTGTTGAGTGGAATCCAAAGGGGAAACGACGATTTGGGCGTCCGAAGCTTGGGTGGCATGGGGAAGATCATGTGTGGAAGAAATGAAAGCTTGTGAGCAGTCGTGGAGCTAGTTTGAAAAGACTGCAGAGAAGAGAGTGCAATGGAGACGTGCTACTGAAGCTGTGTGTTCCACTAGGAACCCAAGGGAAAAATAATAGTAATAACACAGTGTTACAGTATTTTCCACTGGATGATGTTTGAGTACAGCATCAAGGTGACCTGGATATGACTATGAGCAATAAATTATACTTGAAATATCATCCAGTTGATGTTGGACTGTGTGGTATATCATTTTAAACAGTTTAAGTTGGGAGAATTCCATCCCCTAATCATATATAGTCATATTTAGCACTTTTCTAATTTACTTTATACATCTTATCATAGTTTTTATTATACAAAAGTGTATGATTATCATTTTGGAACGTATTATAGAAGCAGTGCATTGAATCAGTCTAAAATGCAATCACTTTAAGTCTCAAAGAATAGTGCTATCATTTTTTTCTGAAGGTGACCAAGTAATTTATCAGAAAATATGTGCACCAATCCCATTTTGACTGCTTATCTCAAAATCTTTAAAAGCATTTAAAAGTGTACAAATTCATCGTAAATTTCAACTTGGTTAATGGAAACAAGTCTTTAATTTCAGAATTTTAACAGTCTCTTCGGAGCGATTCTAAGTAGGATGTATTCTAATGTACATAGACTCATTCAGTCCTCATCAGTTGCAAAGTGAAAATAAGTGCAACAGACTAACTATCTTTATTTTCTTATAATAGGTTATTATAGGTGAAGAACAAAAGTCTGTGCCAAATGTATGAAACTTGTTTACCTAGATAAGTTAATAAGATATTAATTATAATATGGAAATCATGGATATCTCTGTCAAACTGATACATATGGTTGATCCTTCCAATTTACAAAACAGGTTAGGGGTCCACCTGTGACAACCATAAAGCACTCACTTTGACTACCAGTATCCAATAGTTACTCGACTCCTAACTACGACCAAAAAACAATTTTGAGAAAACCAAATGTTTAAGATATGGACGAGTGTGCATCGACCGAATCTTCAAACTTAAACAGCTTTAGGAATACTGACATCCTGAGAATTGCATAACACTAACCATATCTTTTTGCCCTGAGTACTTTGCCAACTCACCAGATATCCGAATGCATTTGAAATGATGAGTATACTGATCAACAGTAAATCGATTGACAAAATCTCTATCCGAATACCAAATGTCAGCTTGGCTTTTGCCACCTTATGTCATTTATGCTGCTACCACATATGATTCCCTACTCAGGGTCAAGTATACTGCGCTGCAGTTCACTCTGTTACACTATGTAACTGGGAAAAATCGACATTAGAGACAAACAACATGAGAAGGCTTCAGGTGTTAGACCACCATTACCTTCGAAACATAGGCTATGTCGCGGTGTCATCACTTCACTATCACACAAGTTAGGCGTAGAGTTTTGGGTGAAAAAGGAAAGTCAGTTGATGAGGTAGGTTATGAGTCTTCAGTCAATCAAGTGGACAGCACATGTGTCACGTCAGCTTCAACCGGTACGCAGTGATACCAGGTCCCATGTTGATACTGACTGACTAAGTGGTTGGTAATTCTTAAATGAACGTCTTGTTTGTAGAATTACATGAATCTGTAAACTGCTCGTAGATGAATTTCTGAAAACGATCACCTGCAATAAGCCGAATGTTTAGATAGTATCACAGATTACAAAGAAATATATAACAATGAATCATTAAAACTGATTCTAGATTTTTTCACCTTATTTTAACGTGTACAGACAATGATTCAGTCTACAAATGAAAATTGTAGATTCCATTTTCTTCTAAACAGTAACCAATCAAATATTAAGGAGTGAAGTGAGATATTTAGCTGTTTGAAAAATCCCATTTTTCTTCAGTTTATTATCACGTTTCCTACCTCTTTTGTTACTGACCCTCTCTCTCACTCACTCACTCTTTCATTTATATTGATTTTAATCATCGTGATTTTGAGTATGGATTAATGATCTAGTCGCCTGAGGACTCCTGATCAATAATGTTTGCCTGTCATATGAGAATGATCTGTATTGATTAATGGGAACATTTTCCACTTGCCTTGAAATGAATTCGCTTCACTTTGTTTTTTTAATCCTCCTGCATTATAAACATTCAGTACTATTCTCTATGTTTAACAATAAATAACACATTTATTGCATAGATGAAATCTTTTCCAGGTACCATTCAAGTAACACCATTGACACATTTTTTCGTGATGGTTCCCTATAAACTGACGTAACTAACCGGACAGTTGGTACAGAATGTTCTGTTCATCATTTCAAAAAAATCAAATTTGTTAAACAGATCTTAGAGCTGGTTTAATTTATTTCGAATGGTTTGCATCGTCTTCAAAGTAGTATAAATAGCTGCTGTCTCATGACTGATTATTATATCATCCTTAATAATTATCTTCTTTATCGACTTCTCATAGTACTTCACTATTTTCTCTCTCAGTGTTATCATTTATGAATTGTAACGGATAGCAGTCATTGAATAACATTCTTAATATAATATTCATTCCTCGATGATAGTCTTCAAGGGCATGCCGTTATAATGCGTATTCTATTCGCAGGACTCTTAATCAAAATGCTCGTCTCACTGAGATTGAGTGAGCTGAAGGAGAATTCAGAATGAAGTTGGTTTTTTATACACCAGTGTTATCAAAGTGCTACCAAGTAGTCTTTTTATTTAACTTAGATAGATAGGTAGATAGTTAAGTCAATGCATTTCCTATTTCTACCATGCTCCTCTGTATCAGCATATGGAATACAAGAATGTTTTGAGAGCGTTTTCCTTCTATGAAAATATGCTGTATTCTTTGTGATATAATAGCTGTTACTTCGTTCTGTTAATATATTACCGTTGTAGAAAAAAAGTTCTACTTGTCTTAGTATACTCTCTACTGACAATTTTGCTCAATCTTTCAATCTACCATCACTGTACATTCTTCGTTTAAACGCATTTATCCTCCATTTCTACATGTTTCCGTATACAACCTACTGACGTCAGAAGTAAACATATATCTCTTCTCAATCAGTTTTGGTGTCTTTCAGTCTTCTTGCATATTCACACAAGTTAACAATACCTGACTACAAAGTATCTCGCGTTGGTTGTGAATTGTTGATCAAGAAACTTGATAACTTTTACACATTAGTGTGAATTATCTGGTTGATCACCATCAGTCAACCACTGGAATTCTTCAATGCATTTCTAAATATAATGAAATGTTTCTCCTTTTAAGCAGTATTTACAAGAATTACATGGATAATCATCAATTAGTAGCCACAGTAGTAGTAAAACGTTAAATTTGGTTACTCCTGAAGTAAATCCAAATATTGATCCAATTTTCCAAGGTATGTTATTAAGGTTTATTAGACTGGTAAAAATTTGCATTCATTTCAAAAACATGAAATTATTTAAGAATTTGAATAATGGGCTTAATAAATAGATGTATAGCTGAACGAAGAGTGGAGATTTTACGACATTATAGTACTCAGATCACATTCAAATTTACAGCCTGACATATGCACGGAAATTATGAAAGCATTGAAGGAGATAAATACCATCTCTATGTATACCATCAGCATTATTAACAGAAATTTATTTAAAAGGTATTACAATTAAATATAAATTGATGAAAGGTCGAAAGGTTAATACCATATCATTGTGAAAAACAAAGCCAAATAAAATAAAAAGAGATTAGTCAATGACGAAAAGGAAGGAACAATAATTGCCACCATAACAAATGAATAAGAAGATATGAAAGAGACGATTAACCTAATTCCATACATTTTAAGCAACAAAAGCCTAGCATTTTATGTCACTTTTGTCTTTATGCACCTGTTTCACATGATCAGTTTAAGATATTAGCACTCCGAGAATTTCAGGAAATGTGATTTATTGTCTAGACTAATTTATACTGGGTGATGATTGAAAATGAAGTGAGAATTTGGACTAGGTCAGATTGGAATCAGCAACCACCGGGTTTCCGGCCTGATGCTCTACCAACTGAGCTACGAGGTCCAACTATTTTAGATGAGGATAGTAAGATATCAAGTAGTTACTCTGGTGATAATCAGCAGAAGAGCATTTGAATGAATGTATACAGAATTCACGTTGACACTAGGTAGTAAGCGTCTTGGATTCCTCTGCTAGCCACAATCAAGTAAATTACAATAAGTAATGAGATTTAAAATATGTCGTACATTGGATGAATGCTGTTGAGAAATGGGTTAAGACAAACAGAAAAATCAAAGTAGAAACACGCAGACGTGCAACAGTTTACGTTGCTACAATACACAGTAGCGCACAAAGAGGGAGTCGATAGAAAAAGAAGGACATTCAATTAGATAAAAGTCTGTGGGGGGGGGGGAAGAATAAATGAATGAAGCTTAGTTAGATGCTAGGAAATGTAAACAGACTGTATACTATATTACATTTATTTTATGTCACACACAGTGATAGTACTACTGGAAGAAAAGACTACCAAGTGACGGAAGCAAAAGAAGCAAGCATCAGGTGTATGATTACTTTGATATGATTATGAGCAATAAATTGGGCTTGAAATATCATCCAGTAAGTAATGAAACGAAATGGACTCAGCAACCACGTGTGCCTTCGTGTAGTAGGTAGCGAGCCACGCTTGTCGTATGAAGGATATTTGTATTATCTGGTTGCCAAAACCTCGGTAGGTAAAGTGGGGTTCGAACCAACCACCCACTTGTCTAAATTCGATTGACCAGACCAATGAGTCACAGTTCTAGTGATTAATGCTTTATTACTGTGTAACATATGGAATAAATAAATCAAATATGGAATTACATTCCACTTTTGTACATGTTTCACGTTTATATTAAAAAAAGTGTGACTGACTTTAAAGTATATCACTGGAAGTCTCCAACCGTTAATTTTTAACATCTCATGGATGCAAGAAAAATAGCTTACACCTTTCTTCACTACTGAAATTGACATTCGGAGACTTCTTTGATTGATACAATATCTTAATCTAGTCACCTCTAATTTACTCCCAATAAAGGCTTGCGTAACACATGACCAAGTCTCCTCAGTTAGCCACGGTTTACGAACCTCACTGACGAACGTTTCTCCTTGAACTGTAATTCCAGGTTCAACATTGCTCACCTTTAATCCAGTATACCCAACAAACACAATGGAGACACTTGTGATAAAAAGTCTATAGCTTTATCATATATTCTCTTTTCAACAGTCAAATCCCACAGCTATACAATAAAAGACATAGTAGACTGTCGAGTCAGTCATTCTGTCAGTATCAACAAAGGACCTGGCTTTACTGCGTAACGGTCCGAGTTGACACAATATTAGCGCACCAAGCGATGGTGTATGAAGATGAAGAATTCAGAAATGAGAAAGGAAGTAATGAAAAGTGGCGGAAAGTCGTGAAGAGGGAAGAGGGAGAAGTAAAACAATGGTTGAGTTTTGGTGGGACGATTACGATGATGTTAATATGTATGGGTTAACCTTCACAATGGATTTTGATTGTGAGCCATTTCACCTACAGTCTCAAACCACCGATTTCGGGTGTCACGTGAACCTCAACTGAGAAGTCTACATTTACACTTACACTTCCCTACACCATTCATATCAACAGTCAAGGGCTTCATGAAATGTTGCCCTGTTTCGGTCTGACTTCCTCTTACCTCTTTCTATTCTAAACGTACTTCATCTAATAATGTGCGACGAAGCAGACGGTGACTAGGTATGCGTGACACATGTGCTGTCCACTTGATTGACTGAAGACTCATAACCTACCTCATCAACTGACTTTCCTTTTTCACCCAAAACTCTACGCCTAACTTGTGTGATAGTGAAGTGATGACACCGCGACATAGCCTATGTTTCGAAGGTAATGGTGGTCTAACACCTGAAGCCTTCTCATGTTGTTTGTCTCTAATGTCGATTTTTCCCAGTTACATAGTATAACAGAGTGAACTACAGCCTTTAATAGAGAATCAGATATGGTGATGGCATAAATGGTATTAGGTGGCGAACGCAAAGCCAGCATTCTTTATTCGTGAGGAGATTTCATTGGTCGCCTTCAGTCTTCTCATTCTGATAATCATTCTTAACCCTGATATATGGCTATCCGAGGTCCATTCATTTGTATTTACTGTTTTGGTTTTATGTGTTGACTGAAAACAGTTTTCAAAACTTTTGTGGATGATTATAACGTAATATATATACTATATGGTAATATACTTCATTAGCTTAAGCAATGAGTCTAGGCTTCGAGTCCGATTCCACTTGCTTCACTCTCAGGAACCCGGATGTACCATAATTCTTTACAAATTTTTTGACTGTCCTGAGTTGAATTATATTCTGGAGCTATGTAGAAAGGTTTTTTTAAAGGGAGAGGGATACATACTTATTTTCATGTGTGACATGTAATTCCTTAAATTTCGATGTTTAAAATAGGAGACTTTGCTAATGACGATCACAACTAATTTGGAATAGTTGAGGTCTGCTATTCAAATCCAAATGAAAAAAATTGACTTTATGAAATGATATCGAGTTTCAAATCACGCTTTGGTGTTTGTGAATATAATAGGAGTACTAATTACCCTGAAGGGTAGCCACAATTACAAAATGATTTCGAACTTAATGAGTAAATTGTATAATCACCACTTCTCCCTTTTCATACTTTTTTACATTCAGTTTTGCTTAATATTTGTGCACAGTATGGAGATGAAGAAGGAAAGAAAAGTCGGTCAAAGGGAGTATTAGTAGAAGTAGAAAGTAGTAAAATAAAGGAAGAAAGAATGATAAGATGATGAGATTGAGTATTGTGGTTAAAATGAGGATGTATGTATACATCTGCGCCACTAACATTGATTCTGAGCCATATCACCTAGAATCCCCAATTACTAACGGTTTCTCTTATCCTGTGGCTGGAACGAACAGTCAACGACTTCATGCATCGATGCCATGTTTTAAACTAGCCTCTGCAACCTTTTTTTTCCAGCTTGAACCTACTTCGAGCAATATTATGTGACGAGACGGATGGTGGCTAGGCATACGTAACACATGTCCCAGCCAACCATCTCAGTTGATGAGGGTTCACAAGCGTGTCAACTGACTTATCTCTCCTGCCTAAAACTGTATGTCTGACTTTTGAATAACTCACATGGTGATACCAGGAAACACTGGTTATGCTAGGAAGGCAACGGTGGTCAAATACGTGATGTCTTTTCATGTCTTCTACCTTTAATGACCGTGTTTCATAGCCATACAGTAGAACAGAGCAGACTCCAGCACAGTACACTTGACTCTTAATAGGCAATCGGATATCAGGGCGTCGCCATAGATGGCATAAGTTGGCTAAAGCTAACTGGGCCTTTTGTATTCGTGCAGAGATTTCATCAGCCACTGAGTCATCAGGACTAATGCGACTTACTAGGTAAGTGAAGTATTCAACGCGCTCAACCACTTCACTGTCTATTATTAGCCAGAGTATAGTGTATATTTTTTGTTAATTTTAGTGCTGTTTTCCGTCTCCGAGAAATATTTTTTATTGATCGCTTAAAATAAATTGACTATATTGTTTAATCCTCATTTCTTTCATTTTTTGGTAGATTTCCATGGAATCTGAACCCTCAGATTTAGAAAAACTAGCTAATGTCACATTCATTGTTAGTGGCTTCGAGAAATCTGGGAAGGTAAGACTAATTCAATCACATTTTCGGGAGTCTTTCTTTTATCTGTTGAACTTTTCGTTTTACTTTGCAGCTTATATAGGTGACCATAAAGACCACCCTAGCAATGACTGAACTAACCAATTAGGTTTAAATATTTCGGCTGAAAGGGCAAATTTTCATGAAATGAAGTCTAATTAGCTACCTCTGTTGTTGTTGTTGTTGTTGAGGTGACCTTTAGTCACCCGATCAAAGTGTGCTTAAACAGTTACTAATCAATATGTGCTTTGCACTATTCAAATATGACATTTATTTTAGACCAATAATCGAAACACATTCATCGTATTACTCACAGATTGTTTTTTGAATGTGGTTGAAGAGTGTACACTACGATAGAGCTTAACTGCTTATTTGTTGTGTGTATTTCATATAGCACACGGTGATATATTACTTCCTATCTAAACGTTTTGAGTATAATTAGTTGCTCGTAACCATATTCTTTCATGTGTTTCTGTTCCTAATTTAGATTTTCTAACTTGTTACATATGCTCTTAACTGAATTGCGTGAGCGTTTCACCAAACATTCCTTAACTATTAGAAAGTGGAGGTAACCTAAAGTTTACACGATGCCGTGGCTCATGTGTTCAGCAACTCAACTCCCCTGACTGAGGTTTGGCAATCCAGGTGGTATAATCACTCGTCACACGATAGGAGTAGCTGATTACCTACCACTTGAGAGAGCACTTGTTTTCTGGGTACATTCTGATTTGATTTCGCATCTAAAGTTTTGATATGGATTAAAAATGACTTGGTTTCTTGTAGCGTTAGTATCAAACTCACTGTCTTTTCTTTGGTACATTTTGCAGTCCGGTAGATAACTCTTCTTCATTTTCTGACTTATGAATCAGTCAGATGTCATGAAATAGACTTTATTTAATTGAAAAAGTTTTGGATATGTTCTGACTTCAACCCACTAAATGTGTCATCACTGTATCTTCATCGTACTTCAAAAATACGATTATGTATGTTTTAAGTCTTGTACTCTCAACTTCTATGATGGAGAATATTGGTAACCTCACTACTACTCATATCGTAGTTAGACCATATCGAATGAAATTGACCTCTGTGTTGTCAAATACAAGTTCTCCTCTCATTAGTTATCTTTGTAATAATTTTCTCACTTTTAACATCTCATTGTGTGGAAATCCACTGGATCCTGGTGAAAGTTGTCTGAGATCATTATATGCTTTAGTAAACTACGTTCTCTAACAGATTTCTGTTTTGAGATTTGTATTCATTAATATTGTTATCTGTTTTATACACTTCAAAATGCTGTTACAGAGGTTTCTCCTAAAAAAAAGAGCCTTTTATATGTGACACATCTTGTAGAGTTTTTGCCTGAAATAAGTATGGTAAACTATATGTTATCGTAATACAATATTCGTACTGTGCTCTCAGTCACTTTACCCCCATACTTCATCATGAAGTGGGAATAAAACGGGGGTATTTTTTGTTGTCGCTTATAATTTCCTGTTGCTATACATGGTTGAAATGCTCGACCTATGTTGGAAAATGGGCTCTTATGCGGTTGCCTCGATACTGCCTCGATATTCATTATATTGCAGACTATTTGGTGGCTAGCAATGGAATCCAGGACGCGTGTTTCGTCCTATCGAGGCCTTCACATAGGAACCCATCTACTAACAGAGGCCCAGCATTTCCACCCAGTATAGCAGCAGGAGATTATAAGTATCGAACGACAACAAATAATGCCCGTTGCACAAGAGGTGGCTCTCGTACCCCAGTCACCTAGTTTATAACGCTTTGGTGTTTGGAGCGATAAGTACTGGGTTTGATTCTCAGTGGGAACAACATTACTCACTGGGGTGAAAGTACATGCAGTTGACGAGTCTCAAACGGGACGAAACGCCCATCCTGGATTCCGCTGTTACCCACCAAATAGTCTGCAATATAAAACTAGGGTATAATAATTTCATTGAAATGTCAAGTATTTTTCAGTAGCATACCCAGTAATATTTATTCATCATTCATAGATATTTTAAAAATCATAAAGCTATGTATAAATGCATTTACATGCGATCAGTGTCCACTCTGCATGTACATCGTATACGTATCATCCTAATCTCTTAAAATTTTTACTTGCTGTGTTAATTTATCTATTTCTTCAGAAAGTATTCTCTTAGTCTTAGATAATCTTGCATTTCATTTTATGCATTTAAGTCAGTATGTTTTCAGCAGGCTTTCTGATGTAAACATGAAAATTCATCACCAATCTGTCTTGTAAATATCATTAGAGTATTTAAAATAAATTTTAATTTAAAGGATTCTTTGACACGTACTAAAATTGTCATTACGTAGTTTAAATTAAAAGTAGGGTGAGTGAAGTGTGACTGGTAATCGTACTTATGTTTTTGCTAAACATTATATCGAGGTGTACTAGGTTTGAATTTGTAGATTTCAGTGATGATATACATGTATGTTGAATTATACTTAGTATTCGCTAGTTAATGATTCTATACGATTGTTCAGACTGAAGTTGATGAGATGTCAATGATAGCCTACATCTTTGCCCCATTAGCTAATACAGTGCGAATTGTAAACGCCATGAATTTTGTATATTTATCACTGAAAATGGAGTAATTCATTTTATCTTAACACCTTTATGTAGTTTAATATATTTTGATCGAAAGTAGAAACTGCAGGCTATTAAACTGGTTTATACAGCTGTATAAGATTATATATTCGTTTTCTTCTACAACCCACATTGTAATATCACACCAATTCAATGTTTTAAATCTAAGTACACTTTAAACAACGTGGACTGTTCAACATTTGATGAAAATTCCCTGATTGTCTTTTTTCCCTAGCATCTAATTAACGAAGCACGCTAGTGTTCCATAACGCTTTTATGATTTGAGCGCTTAGTAGAAGTGATCATTACTTGTTGCTCCATATAAGCAGTTTAACTGATATAGTTATATGTTCCTGTTGCCAGACAATGATATTCTTTCCTTTATATATGTCTAGAGAGCTAGTGATGCTCAGGCTGTCTGGATACATCAGAGTAAAAGGGATTTTGTTTTTAAATCCTATTGAGATTCTTTGGAATAGACGGCGAACATTGCGTCAAAGCTTTTCATATATTCAAGTGCAAAGACCTAGGTGTATATCTGCTCTCCTTTCTAGGGATGCCAGTCAACCTGTAAATTAAATGATCCTACTTTCCAGATATGTTAAGCGTTTCCTAGTGATATTGTGTGTTCTCTGAGCTGGGTCGCTTAATCGAACTTTCATCGTCTTACTAGATGACATCATCAGCACATGGATAATTATGGATATGAATTCAATTTTGACAATGTAGAAATCTTGGACAGAAGAGACACAAAAAAATATCAAAGAATTCCTAGAAGCTTGGCATTCAGGTCAGTCAGCAATCAATAGATGTATTGACATAGACCTAATCTATTAACCAATGAGAAAATTGATAAACGACAGAAAAATCAGAGGTCAAGCAGGGAAACAGCTGACAGGAAAATCTATGCAGTTAATGGCAACAGTCAGAGGAAACAACAAATCACAAAGCAGTTCTTCAGGACAAGCTACTAAATTACTTACGGAGAGATATTGACAGTTCACTTCATACTGAAGTTAGTGCTGATGGTATCATCTAGCAAGACGATGAAAGCATCACGATAAAACCATCCAATTAAGAGGACATAATACAACCAAGACTATCCACGTGAGCTACAAATATTCTCCACCATTACAAAAGTTTTATATTTTGGTAAATTTTTAATTCCATGTTGATTTTCTGCTTATTCAGTTAATAAGCAAACAGAAAGTTGAACGAATTTACATGACTAAAATACGTTTATATCAAGTAGTCAAATAAGTCGCCTATGTAGATAATATTCTCCTTTTTCTTTCTACCTCTCTATAGTTTGTATTCAATCTACTTTCTGAATTGAATTTACGTTTAATTAGCGTGAATTCATTCACTGAATTAAGTACAATATTTACACGATTGGCTAATGAAGCTCAAAGTCATACACGACGAATTTTTGATGGAGATTTTATTAAAGTTTGTATTCTTGGTGGAAATCAACTAATCAATTTAGTACTACGTGCATATGTTAACCAGTTGAGTTGTCGATCTACAGAACTTGCAACAGCTTTTCGATTTTTCATTGTACCAATTGATGGTTTGAATAAATTTATTCACAATTCATCAGTTCATCATAGTCAAATCAATTCAGGAAAGAGTAGTAAAACAATGGAAGTGGGTGTCCAATTAAATTTATCATCGGGACCACAACAACAACAACAGCATACTAACGATTCATTCAATGCTACTGTATCCCGTCAGCCTAATTCAAGTGATTGTAAGCATTTTTAGTTGTTTTTGCTTTTGTTTATCTATGTGATTACTTATTATTGTTGGTCTAATTTCTCAAACGTAAAGGTATTTATTTATTTAATCGGCTTTTTCTTTCTTATCTAGCCAATTTTACGCGTGCTTCCTTATCATCAATCCAAATATCCAGTTATTGCAACAATTTATTTGCCTATCATCTTTGTCAAATTGATCCAATCTATAGAAATTTGTTTTCAGAATTCTGTGATGAATCTGGTTCTTTGGATGAAGACCATGCTATAAATGTAACAAATTTATCAAGTAAAGAATGTATTTTGATATCAAGATCAGAATTAATGAAACGTATAGTGAAGTATGTGACGACCTGTCGAAATGTTTATACATTTCCTATCGGATCATGTCTTCTTGGTTCATCTAAAAATACATCGACTAGTGTAAGTAAAATGCAAAAGTCTCTGACCACCGATTGTACTACATCTGGGAATGCGGCTTCAACTAATTCAAATACTGCAAACCACTTGACTCAAGGAGCTACAGATCAATGTTGTAGTCATCCTGATGGAGTATCCGGGTTAACTAAAGGAGCAACTGTCACAGGTAACTTTTGAATTAGTTCAGTTATAAAAATGAATTTTACCTACTCACTACTTGTAGAGACATCATTTTCGATAGCTTTTGTGTTTAACTGTATTACTTCGTATTGTGAAGTGATACAGTTAAATAAAAAAGTGTTGTATTATTGGACATCATTTTATATGGCACCAACAATCCATTGGCATGCATAAAGATGAAATCCTTAAGTTTTTGTCTGCTTTTCACACATCTATCTGGTAATCCCATATCTTAGTTCACTTGAATACTTCCAACTACTTCATAGTTTTCCTTATCTTCACACAGGATTTAATGATGTCCTCATTCAAATTGTGAAAGTATTTTAAAACTTAGTCATTGATCAGAACAAGGATAATTTGAGCTAACAGTTGTTTTCAATAACTCCTTCGGGCTCTACAGTTATAAATCCATGAGAATAAGTAAAGTGCAACAGCATGATGTGCAATTAATAGCATATTTAAACAGTCGGTGTTACGCGTGAATGGAGATCAAATCGAATGGAATGGTGGAATGGTAATCAGTCTGTTGTGTTATTTGTGCAGTGAAATCAATACTAACAGAACAATTACGCAATGGGGAAACAAAATCTACAGATAATGATTCATACTGGGTGGTGATTGAAGGTGAAATGAAAATTCGGACCGCGGCCGGATTCGAGCCAGCGACCACTAGGTTTCCGGCTCGATGCTGTACCAACTGAGCTACGAGATAATAAATCATTTACTGGAGCATGAATGTGTGTGTGCGTTTGTTTACTAAGGGTCAGATAATAATGTAGTGTGAGTATCCAAGTGGAGTGAAAATCATGCGAATACTATAACGAAAATAGAGAATAACAAATGTGAAGTGTTATGTCACGGTTGAAAATGACTACCGGTAGTGGTATGAATGAAGAAGGGCATAAAACTAATAACGTAAGAAAATGAATGTTTATCAATGTAACGATAATATAGGAGAAAGGGGTGGGAGGTTAAAATGCGCAATTTGCAGTAGGAAAGTTCATAAAGGACTTGTCAACCCTATTGTGGACCAGGGTAGATAAAGTGGATGTACACATTTCTTTTGAACACGTAGGTCCGGTTTTCTTGTGTTTTTACCTATGGCGTCGGCTATAGATAAGATGCGTGGTCGTGCACTTTTAAGGAGATTGCAAGGGACATGATATATCACGGAAAGGGCGTGATCTATCCTGATTTATCTACTAGATATGGGAGGACTACACTGTTGATGCTCTTTGTCATTCCTTTCCCTAACCAAGCTGGTACATGTTCACAAGCGCGCGTGGATAGAGCCCTATAAGTACGGCCTGTGTAGTCATTGTATATGTAGTGATGCTGAATTCCCTTACTGTCATACAGGAAAGCCACCTCAGAAAACCTTACGTAGGATACCCAGTAAGGCTGAGATTTTTGTGGCATTCAAACCTTGAAAATCACTCAGAAGTAAGCTTAAAGTTGAGAGATTCTATGAAGCTAGCTAACCAGAACAATTTGACGTACTAAATCTCCTGCAGTAATTATGAGGTCGAATACTTGGGTTAAAGTAGTCGATTAGGTTCTGTTAAGCTGTTCGTGCACTGAAAATTGGTTAACTTTCATTAGTTAATGAGTCTGTTAAAAGGCCCAGCCCTAATATTTTCATGCATAACTGCACAATAGGAAGGTGGGATAAACTGGCGGTCAGAAAAGCTAACTGATTTAAACGGAAGCAGAATCGTTGTTCATCAAGTCAACACCAATGACATGCGATATGGATATTTCAACATTTATTGCAGATATTTGGAAACACTGACTATCTCTATTGCAAAGAAGTATTATTATTGTTATTATTTGTCTTTTGGGTTCCTAGTGGAACATAAGGGCTTCAGTAGCACGTCCTTATTTCACTCCGTTCTCTGCAGTCTTTTCAACCTGGCTCTACCAATGCCCAGAAGCTTTCACTTTTTATTCACACTATCTCCTCCATGTCACCCACGCTTCGGACGCCCAACTCGTCGTTTCCCCTTTGGATTCTCCTAGACCTCTTGGCCTGGCGGGTGATGTCCCCAAATGATCTGTGTATGCCCAATCCATCTCCACTTTCTTTTGCATATTTGTTAAGTAACAGGCTCTTGGTTGGTTCCTTGCCACAGTGAGTTCCTTGTTGCTTTTATTTTCTCGCAATCCATCTGATCTTCCCTGTCAGTATCGAGTGAGCGTAGGCGGCAGCTGTTGATAAATGTCTGTAGTTTGTTGGAAATGCTTTTCATAACGCGTCAAGCTTCTAAACCATCACATAGAAGCCCTTACTCCATGTTGGTGCTGAAAATCCGGATCTCGTTCACGCTTTATTCTGAGAACAGTAGATCTCTACACTGATTTCAGATTAATGAAGGCGTGTCTTGCTGTCTTTCTGATCCTGGCTTTGACATATTCATATGTCCTGCCTGTAGTTAAACCGATGCTACCCTAGGTAGGTGAAAGAAACTGCTTCCTTTAGGTTTCTCCCGTTGATGGTGATTGGTTGTTGTTGTTGATTGGGTATCTTCATCACCCATATCTTTTCTACGTCCACCTGAAGGAATTCCCGTCTTCGCTGCCTCTTCTGTCAACCTGTTGGTTTTTGCCTGTAGATCTTCGAGTTTGTGCGACAAGACATCAAACATAAATCACCGTCGGCGAAATCTAAATCTTCTAGGGTCTTTTCATCGATCAAATAGCGTATCCCTCTCTTCTCGCTTCTCACGGTTTGTTGCATGATCCAGTCGACCATAATCAGGAAGATCATGGGTGACAGTAGGCGGCAACGTTGTCTTACTCCTGCCTTTACTTCATAGGAGTCACTGAGCTTCCCACTGTGTAGCATTCGGCATGTGACGTTTTCATATAGCTGTTGAATGAGATTGATAAAGATTTGTGGCACTAAAACCGTAGTGTTGAAGCAGCTGCTAGATTACTCCTCGGTTCCGAAGAAGTGCAGTGGACCAGAATTTTTATAAGCCATTTCTCAATATACTCTGATATTACTATGGAGAATTAACTCCATCCGAAACATCATTCAGGAAATAATGCTGTATGTTTACATGGCGCATCTGATAAAAAAACATCTAAGATGATGTAATTATCTGCGAATGATTATAATAGGATAACACATGTATCGATTTATCTACTGATAAGTTAACAAAAAAGTATTTAGAGAATTGGATAAAATACAGTTACGATACGAAAAATTTGGATAGGTGATGAAGGTTATTAAAAGCAGTCAAATCTCAGCTTCATGGAAACGAATACTTAATTTCCTTCAAGCTTGAGAGAGGCTCCGTGTGAAGATCTATCTCCAGAACCAGCTAGATGTTTATTTTATCCTTCTTGGCGATTTTGACCTTTTTTTTACCTAATACTCTTTGCTCAACCTCTACATTTCTCACACGTTTTATCAGTGTTACAAAGGCAACAGTGATCTAGGATCCAAAGTTTTCTTATGTCACTGACCTGCATTGACCATTTTTCATAGCCATATAAGCAGGATAGAGCGTTCTTCTGTTCATTTTAGCCCCAACCCTTGATGCTCGTGTAACTCATCGGTGTCACAAATGGCATAAGTTGACGAAAACCAGTTGAGTCTTTTTTTATTCGTGGTGAGATTTTGCCAGCTGCCCAACCCATTAGGGTTGATGTGACTTTTCAAGCGAATGAACTAGTGGTCAACATGCTAAACCACTTAACTCTCGGTTGACTGATGAAATGAAAGTTCTGACCAGTATTAGAGAAAAGTATGCTTTTAAGAGCTTTAAAAAACACATCTTAAACATTCTTGAATTATAACCTAGCTTGCAAAAAAGACTATCTTATCAGTGTATTCATAATGGTTCTAAGCGACAGCTTTGTAGATAAAAAGATAAATAATTCGACGAAAGATTGCTGGACTCCATATTACAAGAAGAAGAGACGGTGCAAATAAGGAAATATCGTTCAACAACTTATTTGTTCCACTTTAAACTATGTTTGCTTCAGTAGCTTTTGTTATGTATCATGCAAAACCTTTTATGACGTTCCCATTTTTCATCACAATCAACTGTATAATTGTTGAATATTTGTTTTCTCATTTTACTACTTTCTTCTTACATTTCACATTTCCTAGGTAATCCTGCTCACAGTGAAGAAATGGTTATCCCGTTCGTCTTAAATGTACGCTTAGGTAATTGTTTAGCCTTAGCTTATCCAGGCTTATTCACAACTCTTCCAACACATCCTAAGTTTCAGCAACAACAACTACTTGGAAAATCATTTACTGGAGATACCTCTTTTCCTAGTTCAGTCATTGCTACCAACACAAGTGCTGTTGATTTAGATTCTAAAACACCCAGTGATTCAGAACAATCTCATACAAAACGCAATATAAGTCCCGAATCAACAGCATGTGGTACATTCACTTCACCACGGTAAGTAATTTTAGTCTACTGTTGGTAAAGATTATTTCTTTTCTTATAACTTAATGACCAAAATAAAAGCTTGATTGCTTACTATTAAACACAATTTTGGTAAAACAGTGTCGGTACTTAAAGTCCCATAATTATTTTTGTGAATATTAGCATTTCTGTTAATAAACATCATCTTATGGCTTTCGAAAATGTTGCTTGTGGAATTTCATCTTCTCAGTTTGGAATCACCTTCAAACAAGTTACGAATATGAATGTATTCGTCTTATTCACACTAGTTTTATCTAAGGATTAAATTAGTTCATCTGACTGTAATTACCTTTGAAGCCTTGTGACGGGACTAAGTATGCTTGTGGTACCCTTTGATCCCATCCGAACTCATGGTATATGAACTTAATTTTTAAAAAATTGTCATTCATCATAGAAAGACTATCCGTCGACTAAGTAACTAACCCCATATCAAATAAACAAATCTAATATGGAATTATATCCTACCACAGTGCCGAAGTCTTACACTTATGTTAAGTAACTAACTTTTCGATAGTTTTATTTACATCTCAGTGGACATAATGAATGAATGAAAAGTGAAGTTATCATTTACATTACACAGTATTGTAACTAGGATGTATGAAGCTGTTATGTCACATACATGACATCTTATCCTTATAAGTGTTATTCATCACAGAGTGATATCAATTGTAGAGGGAACCATTTAAAACCTAGGAGCATTGTACAGCTGTTTCTTCCTACCATAAGGTTCCTCACTAGGTCGACATCTACGACCCACCAAGATTCGAACTCAGAACTGTAGAGATGTCAGACAGTAAGACGAAACAGCTGTGCACTGCTCCTAGGTCCTGCAACTGATGTCAGTTCGTGCTTAGTACTACCTTGAAATCAATAAATCCCCATAAACTCTCATACTAATTAGTGTATATTAAGCACTAAGTTCATTTAGATATAACTCTCTAGTGGACTTATAAGCAATATCATGTTGCATAGTTGCAAGTTGTCAAACTGATTAGTGAAATATGAGAAAGAAAAACATAGGTAATTGTGTAGCTAGTGCATCACGTTTTATTTCTACTGCTTGCAATCGCACTATAAAAATAAAATCAACAGTAAAGTATTTCACTTGGCAGTCGAACATCTGAAAACCTTTCGTTAAATCCTCTTTAAACAGTATTTCAAAGACATTCGGAAAGATTTTAATATTCTTTTATGCATTTAACAGTTTTTGTCAGCATTTATACTGTTACTACTACTGCCACAAAATCTATAATTTGTCAACTGTTGACCTAGTTCCCTATTTCCCGTTAGTTTTTTAACGGTATGTAACTTAAGAAAAACTGAATTGATTACTGGTATAAATTTTCAGCAACAATCTTATGTATACCAATCAATGTGACACTGAAGCAGTCAGAAGTCAACTAAATATTGACTCAGAACTTACTCAAAGAACTGAGATATCGGTTGATGAAATCATATTAGGTGTACGGTTGTGCCCGACCTCCACAGTCTTCAGGTTTAAAAACAAAATATATAGAAAAGCAGAAGAAGTAACAATGGGATCCCCAATCGTAACAGACATATTTATGGATAGTTGGGAAAACATGACTTTAAAAACGTTTAGTCCTACATCAAAAATATGGTGGCGATGTATGGATGACACATTCACTGTGCTCAAATCGGTACATATCGACACTTTCCTCACACATAAACTCAGTAGTAGGCGCAATCCAATTCACTTACGAGATAGAAAATGAGCAAGGAGAATTACCTATACTGGATTGCAAGATACAACGAAGGACAGATGATGGTTTAGATACTACCGTCTACAGAAAGCTGACACATTCCAACTGGTATCTAGACTTCAGGTCATCCCATCCAATACCAGTTAAGGCAGTCTTAGTCAAATGTCTAAGTAATAGAGGTAAAAAACTGACTAGTCAGTGTAAGGACCTAGACAAGGAATTGAAACACGTAAAAGAAGCATTGATAGTTAATAATTATCCTCCGCAGTTTATTAAGAAATTCGTACGGACATGTTAGAAACAAAATGATTACAGTAATACTAGTAGGAATAACAATGACAACACCAGTAGAAAGGAGTTCACAGCCTCCATTGTGTAACCCTACAAGGAAGGCACATCAGAAAATTTATGTAGGATCCTCAACAGAGCTGGAATTAGGATGGCATTTAAACCCACAAACTCACTGAGAGATGAGCTTTGTCGGCCGGCTAAAGGATGCGATAGAACCAATCAAGTAAAATAATCTAATCTATGAAATTCCATGTAATGACTGTGAGATCAAGTACATAAGTCAAACTAGCCGGTCAGGGTCAGTTAGATTGATGAAACATGGGAATTTAGCTAAACATAGAATGATAGACCCGGATAAGGTCAGTAATCCAGAAAAATATTCGGCTGTTGTATTGGATGCATTAACACACAACCACACAATAGGGTAGGTGGGATAAAACCACTGTACTTAATAAAGTCCAGTATAATTAGGTAAACAGGGAGAGGGATTACAGAATCTTTGTTTATAGAATCAACACGCAAGACATCTAATAGAAATGATGCAAGACCTATACCAGAGATATGGAAAATTTTACTAACAATAAAAACAACTCATATAAGGTGGCAGAACTATAAAAATAAAATCTCGAAAGTACTGTGATTACATTTTGAGGGAGTTGTGGAGATTTGGGATTATTTCAAGTTGTTATTCATCGTAGACTGACATCAGTTGGAGAAACAAAGGAAACCTGGGAGCACTGGACAGCTGTTTCGTCCTAGTATGGGACTCCTCAGCAGTGCGCACCCTTTTCCTTTGTTCCTCCAACTGATGTCAGTCTACGATGAATAACAACTTGAAATAATTCCAAATCTCCACAACTCCCTCAAAATTTAATTGAACTGGTGCTCATTGGTGACTAGTTTCGAGAAGTATTCCCGAAGTTGCAATGACAAGTCGTGACCGGTGGAGTCAAAGCCTGATGACCATGAGGACAAATACTCAGCGATGACATTGGGTGGCGGTTGCGCTATATATCGTGAGCTAACAGAAGTTGGAAATATGGAGCATTGGATTGTGGCCCAGTGGCTCAATGGTAACGCGCTGGCCGCGGAACCTGAAGGTCGCGGGTTCGATCCCTGCTGGTGGGGTCGTGGGTGCGCACTGCTGAGGAGTCCCATACTGTGATTACATTGATATGATTATGAGTAGTAATTTATGCTCGAAACATCATCATCAAGTAAATCATACTGTATCACTGTGTGTGTTATAAATAGAATAAACAAACCTAATATGAAATTAAATTCTACCACGGTACCCAAGTTTCACACCTATGTACATGAAAGTTATTGTCCTCTCATCTTGATCACTCCGAAGTGCATCCTTTTTAATATGTCTCATTAACTGATGAATCTTGTTTCACTTTTCAACTTGTTTCCTCGCCTATATATATATATATATATGTGGTTTTACATCATACCTTTTTCTTGATTTATAATGAAAATCACTCCATATAGTGGTTCAGCATATGGAAAATGCTTTCATAGATATATTCTATTTTAAATAAAACGATAAATTTGCTTATTTTTATGGTTTCAGTTCCATTTCTCACATATTTCGTATTTTCCCCCATTCTCCTTTTTATTACTTTTCGTTTGTTTGTGTTCACCGTTAAGTTAAATCAATTTTCTTGATGGATGACATTTCCACTTGTTTCTTCTTCATAAAAAGTACTTTAAGATCTAGTTTAACATCTACTTGTCGTATCGATTTTTGCTATGATTACATTGTACATTGAATATATTTTTGATTGAAGAGCCATAATTTCTCTAGATTCCTTTAATGAATAATGTCATAGGAAAGCATTCTGCTTTATCTTTCTCTATGATGTGACCTGATAAAATAAGGCATTTTTTTTCCACACAAGAAATAATAATCGAAATTATTCTTAACACACCTTAATCATATTTTCGCGTGTTTCTATTTGTTTCTGATAATTTCTGCCTACGAATGTTATTGGCATCCAAAAATCAAAGTCAGTGAACTTAAACTCCTTTTTACTGCTAGTAAGAAGTGATGCCATGTATTTTTGGTAGAATATTCAAACTAACCTGTAAAACAGGTGGTAGATATTTCTATATTGAGTTTTTCAAAGTTTTACAATGCATGTTATAAACTGAAGAAGCTGTTTGAAAACAGTCCTTTTTAAAGATATAATTAGATAGAAATTTCTATACTTATTACACCGAACACTTGTAGGACTGTAAAATAAGAGAATAATTTCCTTTTTAAGACTGTCGGTAAATAAAGTATCATGGTAATGATGGATAACAGCTGTGTTGGAAAAGTATATGATTAGCTTGGAAACAGTGCTGTATAATAACCAATCTGGACAAATCATATTCAAAAGTAAGGGAAATTAATCAGAAGAAATCTCAACAAATTTATCAAATCAAGCCACAAATCATGATCATAAACATTTGAATTCTAGCAAAGTTTTCTACTTTAATCCTAGTAAACTTAAAATGCTTCTACTGCGAATTGTATCATCTTCCATGAGATTGATCTTCAATTTTGTTTAAATATTTTACAAAGTAACTAACAACAGTACAATTGGTCTGTCAATCTATTAGTGGAACGCTTAAGAAACTAAAAAAAATGTAGAACAGTAGCAACTGACCGATATTCACTGTACTATCCACTCTAACGTGACAGAAAGCGATCAGAAACACAATATCGACAACCTATGAAATGTTTACTTTTTTTAACTGTACACAAAACGTCACTATACTATACATCATTTACAAGCATCACTAATCAACGCATTGTCTATTAAGCAAGATAAAAGGCAGAACTTGGTATAATTCGAATCAATTATAAAAAGCTATTCTATTGATTAGTGTGAGTTCTGTTTCCACTTTTTTTTCGCTGACTCTGATTGGTAGTTAAATGACAATCCATGGTGTCCTATTTCATTGGTCATCTGAGCGAAATTATTTTTCATTGAATTCGATCAATACACTCCAGTGATAATCCCAAGGAAAGTTTCTTATGAAATGTAGATTCGTTAAACGAATGTGTTTATACATATATTGTCCTTTTTCTTAATCCGACACTTTCTTCATTGTGTTTCAAACATTTTACTTGTCAGACTAAGGATTTGTTAGTGCATGGAATTTCTATTTTTAAATTTTTTCTCAACTTGATTATTTTTTGTTTTGTACTAATGTGTCTTCGTAAAGAAATACCTTTGTTTATACCCGATAAATCTATTTCATGCATCTTATAAAACGTCTTTCATATGTAAATATTTTGTGAATCGCTGATATCATAGCTACTGATTCACACTTTCCGTTGAACTCCTATATCTAATAGGAGTGATAAATAATCTGATTCTTTCATATATTCAGCATTAATTGGTACTGAAATATTTTCATCATGATGACGTAATCCAACTAATTTAAACATCTTCACCTTCCGGTTTAATCGTTATATCAAATCAAGCAGAACTGTTTTGAGATCAGATCAGATCAGATCTCACACAGTGATTTGCATATTTCTGTATAAAACTAAATTTGTCTTAAACAAGAGACTTGGTATAACTATTTGTTCGTTCATTCCTGTGTTACTTGTTAACATCACAGGCTAATAAAATATAATTATTAGGTAGATGATTGACAAATAAAAAGTGAGTTTAATAAATAACAGTCATCATGTTGTGCAAAATAAAGTTAAAGTTATCACTTTCATTCTGGTTGACTCTAAAAATGGTTTATCCTGCATACTGATGGTTTATACTTGTAAGTATGATATTGTCATTCGACATTGTTACATACCGTTTTCGTTTTTTCGGCATTCATCCTATTAAGCAATTGTTTTATCAAAAGTTGAACAAAAGTAGTTACGCTTTGTTGTTTTTAGTACATTTCATATTCATACAATGTGTAATATATACGTTTTCAGTGTATCAGTAATCATTGTAGAAGTGCTAAATAAGATATTATCGTTGTAAAATTTGGAAATGTTCTCTAAATAAAAGAGTCTTACTTTGTATAATCTATCTTTTCGATTGTACTGTATTCTTGTTCATAAACTATTTCAATCCAAAACATTGTACTTCATGTTTATAGCGGTTTCACAGGCAAATAGTTGAAATAGTTTTCATCTAGTATTTGGTCATAAAATTGGAGCTAACTAGAGAAATGATATACAGTCAATTGTCTATTAGATACTCAATCGCTGTATCAGATGCTTTGCCTTACAAACTAGATACTGTTGATTCACTATGATAAAATGGTAAATATTGGTGAAATCTAACTAGAAGAATATCGCGAAAGGTCAAACCGTTGACCCATTAATTCAGATTATCACAGTCAACTATATACAAAAGTATAATCAGGGTAAGGTAAGTATCCTTTAATGTTTGTTCAATCAACAGTAATATGGTTAGTCGATGATAGTCGTCATTAGCCGGAAAAAAATTCATTCATCCCTTTCCTTTGTAAACAGAAGATCAATTTAATCAGGAATTGATTTAGGGCTCCAAACACTCTACTAGATTCTATAAATTAATTTTTTATTAAAAGAAAATATTTTTCTTAGTATATAATCTTACTGGTACATGTGATATTTGCTTTTCTTTTTTATTACTGTTTATTATCCATTTTAATTTGCTACTAGAATACGTCGAAATTTTTCGCTATCATTTCGATCATCTAAAAGAATACGTAAACGCAAATCTTCATGGTCAGATGGATCTAATAGTACTAATCTTGCTGATGTACTACACGGGTACACATACATATTTGCATAATCTTCATCTTACTTTTCCTAACCCCACAACATTATGCCTGGTTCATCATTAAACGTTTTCAACCACAACTTTAAAAAAAAAACCAAGATACCGCAGCATATTGAAATATATATGTATGCATACACACATTGGTTAACAAAAGCTTTTCCTGCTATGCTATTATATGCGTAATTTTACTTGTAATGATGGTGGGTATTTTTTTTTCTGACCTCATGTTTAGTTACTTATATACTATTTCAGTGGTATAATGAATTTCAACTAATTCCTAATTCTGAAACAATATCATAAACAATGGCGCTTTCTAAACGAAGTTAACACTTTTTTTACCGGTCATCAAACTACCATCTCAAGTGGTTTGATATATATATATATATCACCATTTTAAAACATTTTGTTGTATATCTTACAAAAAAAGTATCCCCCAGGCTATATCTGTAAATTTTGATTAAACGAAATAGTTGATCATCTGTTTTTTCCTTTCACTAAGACCATCACATTCACACTATTTTATTGTAAAACACAACCTAATGGAAGTAAAGTAGGGGAAGCCCTAATGACTGTTTGGTTCAATGTCAGTATAAAGTAATCTCGGTTTGTAGTAGAGGAGGAAGTAAAAGTGTTAAACCTTTGCTACTTTGTCTAACATACTTTTATTACCACTATGAATGGAAATCTAATTGCTGTATCTGATTAGCTAGTACCGGTAAAATTTGTCTTTAACTGAGTCAATAGCAACTTCGAAGTTTGCCAGACATAAATTTCCATTCACAACAGTGCATATTTATACTCTGTACTTATTATACATAAAACAAATAACTGAGGGGCATACTAAAGTCAGCATGGGAAAACTTGATAATTATTTGTCGATGTCAATAAGTGCCTGTGAAAGCTTCGTTCTAATTTTATTGCCGCAATTATGAAATGGGTAGTAGGATTTTCCATATATCCGGAACAGGTGCTGATTCATTCCTGTTGGATGTGTTTGATGTCGATTCAATAATAATTAACGACACCACCGAGATATAGGAGCCCATCTGGAAATAGAGGTCGAGCAATCTGACCCTGTATAGCAACGGGAAATTAAAAGTATCAAACAACAACAAGTGAACCCCGTGGCATAAGTGGTTGCTTTCGTGCACCATTGGCCTAGTGGATAATGATTTGTCGTTTAAAGCAATGAGCACTAGTATGAGTCTCATTGGGAACAACACTCACTGGGGTGCAGGACCATCAAGCTGACGAGTCCCAGATTGGAGGAAACATGTGTCGTGGATTCCGCTGCAAGTCATCAAGATAAAACAAAGATTCAGTTGTTAATCTCTCCCCCACCCCACCCCACCTTCATGCTAGTTTCAAGGATGTTAACCCTGTCCCATCCTACTGTGCTATCCTAGCGCAAAAACCTAGCTAGGTCAAAGTTGGCAGATCCTAGTAAGATGAGGAATCTAAGGGAAAACAGCTACGGTTATGTATGTAATTATACACAACCATACAATAGGGCAGGACGGGGTGAAAATTCTTGAAACTAGCATAACGGAGTGAAAGGAGAGATTAGTAACTGAATCTTTGTTTATTTAATCAACACATAATACATACAACAGGAATGACTCATCACCTGTTCCGGATATATGGATAATCCGATTAACCATTTCACAAAGGAGTCGAGAAAATTAGAACTATATAAACCATATCTCAAAGCTATGGAGTTATCCTGAAGTGACTATGGATAATAAATTGTGCCCTCAAACCATAACCTAGTGAATAATACTTTTCCACTGTGTGATACATCTAATAAGTCAACTAAAGTGTTTATAAAAGTGTTTTCCTTTCTTTTTAAAAAAATCTCTAATCCAACTCTACTAATACAATCACTCATTTGTTTTTATTATATTTCATTAAATAAACTGAAATCGTTTAGTAATTAAATTCATTGAAAAAGAAAAGGAAAGCTTCAGTTGTTCTTGAAAGCATTTACAGTGAAATCTATTAGTATATGAAGTCCATATACGTAAATATTTACATATAGAGAAGTTAATTGATTTTCAATGTCACTTTACCAGCTGTATACATCTGATGTTCGTAGTATGTGTTAGAATCAAATATTAGTATATAATAGGTGATGATCTATTCTAGAAATAGCGTTGGCATTAAAATATTAGATAGTTTCTGAAGTTCAGTATTTGCTTTCTATTCATCCTCATTGTTATCTGCTTTAAATAGTATTCACAGTTTTTAATTCCTCTTTGTATTAAAAGGTGAACTCTTAAAATCACTAGTTAACAAATTGTTTAAAAATAATTTTTAAGTGATATTTTCCTGATTTATAACTTGATATTTTTTTTAGCGGTGATTGAGCATATGGTTACCAAGATACTATCATGAGCTTCTACTTTGACTAGTTTTTAGCTGTCTAGTTCATGTGGTAATTTCTATCAGAAAATATAATTTAAAATATTAGTTATTTAGCATAGTGGATAATGTCTTGCATAAGAAAAACGGTGAAATCACAGAGAAATAATTGCAAGTTTTCCTTTTTACTAGTTAAGGTCGAAGTTGTCAACTATGAAAAAAGATTGCTAAAAATCTACAATAGTTGTATATTTGTATGATACAAACGAAGTAGAATAGTAAACTTCTGATTTTTTGTAACACCGTGAAAATCGCTTGTTCATATTTAGCCTATGTTGTTTTTTCATGTTTTTGCTCGTATTATCCCATTGTTGATTGGACTGAATTGATCGGTCTCTATTGGGATATGGGATTCTGCGCGAATGCCTATGTTTCAATTATATATATATATATATATATATATATATATATATATATATATATATATAAATGATGGTTAGTGGCTAGCAGTGGAATCCAAGACGCACGTTTCGTCAGCTGTTGTTTCCACTGAGACTCGAACTTGTGACTGAATGAGACATCCGCGCAGGAACCCATATCTCAATAAAGACTGATCAATTCGGTCCAGTCAACGATGGAATGACACAAGCAACAATATTAAAACTATGCCCATTGCACAAAAAGTGGTTATCTATGGCCTAGTGGGTAACGCTCTGGCGTCTGAAGCAATCGATTCCGAGTTCGAGTTCCAGTGGGAACGACATCGCTGGGAGGCAGATACATCCAGCTGAGTAGTCCCAAACAGGAGACACGCTTCCTGAATTCCATTCCTAGCCATTATTCAACATTATTATATGTGTTGTTCTTCGTTATATTCTGCTGAGGTTGTTATGTTGGACAAACAACTTGTTGCTTGTCCTGTCTGAGCTCAGGTAGATTCGATGACCAACACGTAGAAGGTATGAGTAAAAATTTGGTTATCATTGGTCATTAAGATAAAAGAAGGTGAAATTAGGTATCTGAAATCAACTCTTATAGCCTTCTCCCCTTCTTTGATCATCTATGTTGGCTTTTATGGATGACGAAACTCACTGGTTTCATACACGTTTTATGCTTGGTAACTACATATAATTATGCCATAAATCTATCTTATCGTTCTCAATCTTTTTGTTTACTACTTCAAATACCGTTAAACTTCTAGGTAAACAATAATTTAGTGTGAAATTTTGTATTTTCAATATTATATGGTTGATGAGACTATCTGAAATAGACGTGGTTCGACTAACTGATCTTTGTATGATGGGGAAGTGATAGTAGTAAAAATAGAAACCTGAGTCAAATTAGGGGCTAGCTGGCTTCAATCCTTCCACAATCTAGGTTTACGTTCCCACTTCAGTCGTTACTCCACCAAATAATATTATGATGTTCATTAAATGTTTCTACCTCTCCTCTACTGTTGTTGCTAATTCCTAGTTGATATTTTTTTTATCTTACAGTTTGAATAATAGTTTCCTACTTTTCATGAGTCATGCCTTTTATTGGGATGTGAATTACATCAGAAGAACATTCAAGTCTAATAGTGTTCACAAGGTTGAAGTTTGTGAAAATCAACTAGTCTTTTACAAGTTTATAGGAAATAGTCATACACTGACCTGAGTCGCAGAATGTTTTACTGATATTCAGTGATTGATTGTGTTTCGAGTTTTATTTTGTCTCAGAGAAGTAGTGATCCTTTCTAAACATACTATTGTTACGGTACTAAAACTAATCAAATTATAATAATTGTGTGAGTTTGTTAGACTTTCATAACTCAATACGTTTAAGGATAAAATGTGATGGTTATATAAGAAGATGATTATATTATTCCCAAGGATTTTGTACACCATGGTTGCTATTCTACATATATATTCTTGCTTATCATCTGTTCTCGAAAGAGCTTCCTAAAAACCATCTACCATTCTGTTTTACATGCTTTCTAATCAGCGATATACAGACGCTTTTAATCAGTTGTAAATGTTATTGGTATAATTTGCTCTTATATGCTTTTATTTTTGTGACCTAACTTATTGTTGCCTAATTTTTATACCTTACTTCATACTGCTCATGTTAACATGAGGCTCACTTTAATTACAATACCCACAGATTCAAATTCTTTCAGTTATGTAACATGTTTTTTTCTGAATCTAGGTCACATTCATCTACTCAAAGATGTAGTCAGTCATCTGTATTTGGATCTGATCAACGCCTTTGGGATATACAAATAGAATATTGGTCTACGCCTAATCTTAATGTTATGTCCACTCCTAGTATTCAATCTAATCAGGCAACCACAATATCTACTACCGCAAACAATAATATTGCTCCTTGCCCTACAAGTCCACCAAGTACAACATCTGATCCTCTTTCACCACCTCGACGGTCTACTCTTAAGACTGTATCTCCTGGTTTAGTTGTTACAATAGATTCATCATCTACTTCAGCTTGTAACACTATATCTCCACTTCGAATCAATGATATTTCCAGTCTTGCTGGAGAACCTAATACTAGTAATGCAGGCAATTCACCATTTCGTCATGTACAATTTAACCTAGGTCACACTCATTCTCAACAATTAGCTATTGGATTGTGGTCAAAAGAAAAGAAACAGAAAAGTAAGTACACTATGTTGATATAAATTGTAGTTTTGTTAGTTACACTGTTAGTGCAGCTCAAAATAACTAACTTGTGATATGACAAGTTTGAGAATTTACTTACGCTGGTACGCAAACTGACCAAAAACCCCTTCTTCCTAGACTGAACTCAGTATAAATGTAATGTGTTTGAGTTAGTAAGTTATCATTATATTGTGTTTTCTAAGTTCATTCTCATCTCCTTTGGATTGAGTCAAGTTACCAGTGGGAACATCTACATAGTATATCGACTCATCTATCTTGATTTCAAGGCATAACTCATTAAATCAATCTGCAACAGTCTTCATCCTGTCCTGCTACAATCTTTTGCCCCTGTTTTGCTTTCATTTTTGGTTATTGTTTATGTAGATACCCAATGAGAGATGGTCTGTATGTAAAGATTATAATCTAGAGCATAATTCTTAATCTGATTACATCCATACTTATGAAGCTTATGCGAATGAAGTCACCTAATCTGAGGATGAAATTTTCCAAGAACAACCTTGAAAACTCGGAGAACAACAAATAATTATCATCCTAATCCTAAGCTACAAATCTTTTCTACCATCTGAAATGAAGATACTTGATTCAACTTTCTTATCAAAATGATATCAATGTTGTTAGACAAAAAAAAAAACAACGACTTTCTAAGTTCATGTTGCATCTAAGCTCTTCAACGTATTCAGTTTATTTATTTCATGTACCTGATCATTTATTTACAACTTATCTCGTAATATTAGTTAACTATTATTCCCAATTATAACATCTCATCAGTAATTAGCTGTCATGTAACAAAACAAAATGAAACTATATATAGTAAGTTAATCTTTTTTCTAAAACTATTAATGGCAATGCAATTTTTTTTTCATATTGAGTGAGTGACATATCTATTCATTCTTTTCACTTAAGCTGACATATATATTTCTATCAAGGAAACGAATATTATTACTTCTCTTCTTTATAGTTTCTTATCCGGAGGATAAGTTATACTTCACTTATTAACATAAGTGTTATAACTATTGATGTATTCAAAGAAAAATGCGAAGTAGTTGATATCACACTAAACATTGTGTATTTCACTGTAAAATATTCAGCAGTTTCCCTTTATTGGTATACTTACAGTGCAACACATTCTATGACGAAAGTTCAACGTAAAAAGGCATGAATGTTTACAATAGTTATAACATAAAGTAGATGCTAAGTTGTTATATCATTAAACTGTCTAGTTTCTCCCTTCCCCCCTCCCCTCTTTTTTAATCGATTAGGTGTATTACGTAGTCAACTTTTTTCAATTGCTTCTTCTAAGACATTCAACAGTTTATAGTCATCTCTAACTAAATAACTTTATCTTCATATCGTAAAGAATTTCATTGACAAGTTTAGTGAGTTTGCGAATTGCTTCCTCCAAAAGATGTTTAGTTTTCCTACTTCTCTTGAAGACATTACCTTCCATACGTTTTGTAATACGAAATATTCACTTGCCATCACTTCTTACTACATATACAAGTTTTCCTTTTAATTTTCAGTTATGCTTATCGGTCGTAAGGGTAAAGGATTTAGTTGTCGTTATGAATTGATCAGTGGTATTCAGCGTCTTTTGTGTACTGGACGGGGATGTAATTTGCATAATACCAGTTCATCAATTACAAGTGGTAACACAGAACGTTCAAAAGATACCGAATCTGGTCATCACCATCAATCTTCTACAATTTGTTCATCACTGGATTCAAATGCTCTTTCTACTGCTGACTGTAAACCTTCAAATTCAATATCTGCTCTAGGATTAGCTTTAACTGGTGGTGGTAACTCAGGATTTGGTGTAAATACTAATCATATGATGAGAGGTTAGTTATTCTAGTGTAGTGAACATGAGAAATTAAAAGACTTTTCAGTGACTTATTAATGATGTGATTTTGTGAACCGTTGACTTTAAGCACTCGGACTTCAAATTATAGGTTTCATGTTTTCGCCTTGGCAACCAGTTAGTATCATAAATCTTAACGCAGATATGAAAACCTGTATCGGATTGAGTTGTTTGGAAATTACTAACCAAATATTAAAGACAGCTTTTACAATATGGAGTTATTTTTAACGGTTGTCATATTTTTTGATAACATACTAAATTAGTTGGTTGTGAATGAAAGCGAACTTTCAAGTGTACAACTCACCTTATATCTATAGCTTCCATTCTGATATTTCATATCTTTTCACACGCCACAGATAAACATTGATGAATATGAGTAGTTCTTGTGCCCAGGTTGGTATTTATCATCAACTGATACCAGTTGGAGAAACATTCGAAATCTGCGGGGAGTGGACAGCTGTTTCGTCCAAGTACGGGACCTCTCAATAGTGCGCACTCACGATCCCGTCCAGGATGGAACCCAGGACCTTCAGGTTCCATAGCCAACACGTTACGATTGAGCCACCGCTGCTGAGGAGTCCCGTACTTAGATGAAACAGCTGTCCAATACTCCCAGGTCTCCAGTGTTCCTGCAATTATAATGTCAGTTCATGATGAATACCAACCAGAAATTAATAAATTCCCACAAACCTCCAAATTGAGTTCTTATATTCCTATTCTGCTTTTTTAATATAGTTGAAGGCGATAAATTAGGCTCATAACCTCACCCACTAAATAAAAGTTTGTCACTGTCTGCTATATGGAATTAATCTAATATGCAATGACACTCCTAAAGTGCCCGGTTTTTACTATTATAATTTAGCGTCGTTGAAACAATAGTGAATAATCTACAGGAATGAACCCATAGCTTTCACTTTGAATGGCTTTCTGTTACGAAATGACTCACTTAGGCGTCTTCCACTCAAGGTGCATGAATAAAATAATTTTATTTTTGAATACCACTGTTGAAATTCAATTTGCGTTTTAAAAACACCAAACAACCCTCATGGACTCACTTGTGTACTATAACATGAAGTTCTCGAGCAGAAAGTGCACTTCTCGACTACATACTAGTCAACAACCATGTTTGTGCTGACCAACTGACTGGATCTGGAAGAATTACAAAGAATCATGACAGTCGTTGATAGCTATTCGTAATCTCCGCCCACCAACCGTAGTTCAGATTATGCAAAGGATGAATCCTATCAAAATCTGTTGATTTTACTAAATAAAGCTAAACGTCATAATAGCAAGCAACTTCAACGCTCAACAAGGAAAGCTGAGCCAATCAGAAAGGCGTCTCAGAGGTAACCTACGATTTTCCATGTCAAAAAACCAATGATGATGATCATCTGTTGCAGTTTAGTTCTGACAGTTACTTGTTTCTGGCTGGGAATAACTTTATGTATAAGGAAAGACATTTTCTCACTTGGTGTGCGCTGGCATGAAACCAATGTAGACGCAGATAAATCATACCACCATAGGCTATCATATGAGGATTGCCGCTCTTTCTGGAGTATCTACTTGAACTATGATCATGCTTTAGTACGGGCACTTGTATGCTTGTGTTTTAATCGACACAGGAAACAGACATCAGTGAAGTTTGTGCTTGTTCGATTCGAAGGCTAGAAATACGTACGTGAAGTACGTGTTACGGAGGAGGTAAGCATTTATCTGAATGTGACAGCAATCCTTATCCTGAGAAAACCTCGTGTCATATTAGGTCGGTTGCAGAAACGGTAGTAAAGATAGTTGATAACCTGCATCCAAAGATTAGCAAAAGCCAGGGGATTTCCACAACCTCATTCCAACTAATTAGATGCAGAAGACTCATTCCAGCCGGCTGTCATCGCAATGAAAAGAGAAAGGAACTCAAACGTGGACTGACTATGTGTCCTTGCAGTGATCATAGGTAGTGGTGAGTGGTGAAAGCGAGTGAGGTGGAGAAGGTACCAGCATTAGATAACACTTGACAACTATTTAGGTTTTTATAATAACACTAACAGGAAAAAGATGTTTGTTAGTGTTACCATTGGCGAAGAAGATTGTTCAGTGATAAATTCTCAGGACAGGCTACTAGGATTTTGGGCGGATCACTTGAAAAGCGGTTCAACTAATTTCCAAGAACGCTTCAGTTACCCAGCCTGCAACTAGAATCTAGATGGGATGTAAATGTTTGCATTTCAACTCTCCTCGAAGTTGATAAACTAGGCAGGTCAGTCGATAAAGTTATAAGTCTTCGACTGAGGTGACTTGAATATGTGTTGCGCATGCCGCACTACCCCATACCTCGATATTTAATGTTGATGGAAGTAGAATTGGGTTGAGAAAAGGCCTAGAATGATCACATTAAGACTTTGCATCAGTCCTTGAAGGCTTTGACTATTTATCTAAGCTGTTTAGAGAAGTGTGGGCTGACTGGTTGGGGCTATCAAGACGATAAGAGTAATCGGTTACAGACTCTTGATGAAATGGCCAAAAACCAGTCATAATGGTGCAAATGTATATTCTCTTTTCCGTCTTCAAACTCTTGAGTATTTTGTTAATCTTCCTCTACTTATTCCTTCTTTTCATATATACTAGTTCGCCTTAATGACACTATTTCTCTACACATCTTCCTTATATGCTGCTATGAACTGCGGCAACTTGAACCGATACACTTCTCTGCCAGGTTATACGTCGCTCTATATATCTTGCATGGTGTGTAATTGCAACTTAGTCAGGTGGAGGGAGAGATATGGATAACGGAATCTACATTTGATGGAAATGATTTTTCATCTGTCTTAGATAAATGGAAAATTCTACTACCCTTGTCATCACAAAGAAGGAGAAAAAATTAGAACTACGTAAACTGTATCTCAAAGGTGTGGAGTTACAAGATATGAATATTAACAATAAATTTTGTCGGAGACGTTATCTAGTAAATGATCCTTTTTCACTGTCTAACATTTCTAATAAACAGACTAAAATGGAATTACAACCTACCACAGTGCCCAAGTTTTTTTCCTATATTATGTGTTTGTTCCTTGAAAGAAATTTTTTCCGAAGACTCAGTGACATCTATCTACCAGAGAGATTTTCTCACTATTATCATTATTATTAGTCCCTTGTGTCCCTATTGGAACATATGGCTTCAGTAGCACGTCTCTACTTCACTGTGTTCTCTGCAGTCTTTTAAACTTGGCGCCACGACTCCTTAAAAGCTTTCATTTCTTCTTCACACGATCTCCTCCATGTCACCTTCGGACGCCCAACTCATCGTTTCCCATTTGAGGTCCACTCGAGGTCCTTGGCCTGACGCGTGATGTCCCCAAATGGTCTCCTCAGTGTATGTCTAGTCCAGTCTAATCCATCTCCACTTTCTTCTGCATATTTGTTGGGCGATAGGTTCTCAGTTGGTTCGTTGCTAGCCAGAGTTCCCTGTTGCTTATTCTTTCTTCGTCTATAGAATCCCTCCTTCTCTTGATCTGTATTATTTGTAGGTACGTAGCATTGGCATTGTATGATCTTAACTTTCTCTCTTTTTGATTTGAGTCTTGCTATCATGATCCTGGAGGAGATTGGTTCCCACTGCATGAGATGCTCTTCAGAACATCATGATAGTCACTCCCCCAATGTGCTAGTGATTTTCGTCTGGGTAACCGGAGTAGATTATTGACTCTTTAGTTAACAGTTTAGAGTCCACTTTCATTCGATCTCCTCTCGCAGTTTCCTAGCACTTCTGCGCTATGTCTATCTCATTTTTTTTTGTAATTTGGGCAACCTTGCTAGGTTCAAACATTGTGCGGATATTCCATGTCCCTATGCTTACTTTTAATTTCATGGAGAGAAGAGAAGACATGATTAGATTGATTTTCCAGGGTGGGGTTGCTAGCCATACACCCAACCTTCCCTCTTTATCCGAGCTTAGGACCAGCTAGTGGGTTAATAAACTATGCAAAATTTTTGCACTATAATATTATGGATTATTATACATATGTAGATAGTGAAATACAACAGTAGTACAATCTTTATTTTTATTTTGCAGTTTGGATAGATGGTGTTGAATGGACAAATTTGAAATTCTTTCAAATTACTCCTGTTTGGCGAACACATGTGAAGTTTTTCCTGTTGTTCTTCTGAATTCACAACAGATGGATACAGTGACTTCAGTCAAATCATAAAATTAAAGTATATTATCGTGACATTTATTTTGAAAACATGATATATATATATATATATATATATATATATATATATATATTGTTTTGTTTAATATTCTTTCAATATACATCGCTTTAACGCATTCTTTGAAGATGATATCATTTCACTTTTTTTGTTTTCTTCCATTCGCTTTTCTATCATTTGTACTCATGTATACTAAAATAAGCTCAGCTATAACATTACATACATGTTTGTTTAGTTGAAGAAAAACAAAAACGAAAAAATACTGACAGTAAACTGCATTTATCGCTATTGATGTCATTAGTATCCCATAGGTGGTATTGTTTTGTTGTTGTTCTGTTTCGGTTTATTTTGATAATCATTTTTGTCTTCCATTTTTTGCTGTTTACTAGGTGTTTTGTTTTTCCATTTAATACGGTCTATTCTTGTGCTTTTCATTTATGGGATGTTAATATCATTCTTTACTGGTTAGTTATTTCCAGTATATATTATTCGTCGTTACCATTTTTTTTTAGAAATATTGATTTTTTTTAATGGGAAAGTTTTACTTTTGGTGAAATCAATGTCTTCTATACCATGTTTCTTCAATATTTTCATCAGACTTGTTTGTAATTTTCTTTATGCTTTCAGCTATTTGTCCTGTATTCCTTTCAATCGCTTGTTCTCTGATTATAATTATGAATATCATTATTTACTTAATGTATTCTGCTTAGTTTATTGTTTTTAACTTTACACAGATTTATTGATAAAGATGTATCTTCTTCCCGTATCTTTGAAATGTTGCATACAATTACTTTATATAGTATGGTTGTATATTCAACAGTTGTCTTTCATTATACTTGAGAAAAAATAGTTTCACTTCTAATAATTTCATTGAATAATACGAAGATAAAGGTACGTATATATGAATGATGATGTTCCCCTCGATAGAAACAAATAACTACTCTTCGTTAATATCAGCATGAAGATACAAAATGAATATAGTCTTTACACAGTGCATTTCCCCCCCCCCCCCTCCACACACACACACAAGAAAGAATTATTATATTAGGTCAACATGGTTTCCGTAAAGGAAAAAACATTTAAGTATGCTAACAAACAAACACCTGTGTACTTGTCTTCCTGTATAATTCTGTGTTGATGTATTTTGACTTTGAAATCTTATATTCACTTGGTTACATGATCAGTTGTGTTCTTCTCGTTGTTCTGCTATTCACTGTGATGTTTATTTCATTTAAGTGTCTTTTCAGAATTGACAATATTTACTTTAGCTTAATGCATTGCATTCGAATGTGGAAAGTTGTCTACATACTGAACAATTTGTCATCTCATCTCTCCTCCTTATATTCAGCATTTTGCTTGCTCATTCATTGTTATTTTCCTCTTTTGTATATATTTATTTTACTTATCCAATTATAAAAATGTTATACATAACTTGTGAATACATGGTGTTAAATCTCAAATATATTTGATAACTTCTGCTTTTTAGTATTCCTTAACAGCAAACAAGTTAAAAAGTTATTGGATAAAAACCCAATAAATACTTAGGTATGCTTTCATAAATATCAAAATTTTAATATGACTTCCTCCTTTTTATAAGCAGCTTACCAAATTCTGACTATATGTCTCGTATCATACAATGTATGTAATTATAAGTATTCAAATTTTAATTGGTTGATTCGATGTATCATACAGTGGGACAGTATTGTTCACTGATTGATGACTTGAAAACAATTTATTGTCCATAATCCTATCAAGATAACCCCAAAAGTTTGAGATATAGTTTATATGGTTCTGATTCTCTCGCCTCCTTTGTGGTATGGCTAGTAGGATTTTCTATATATCCGGAACAGGTAAGTTTCATTCCTGTCCCACGTATTCAGTGTTAATTCGATAAACAAAGATTTCTCAGTTAGCCATAAAGGAGACTATCCTACAAGTCTCAATATATCTCACTATATGATTTCACTTATGAATATATGTATATATTGTTACGATCCACGCTGTAGATAACGATACAATGCTCCGAGGCAAAACGATTAGCGATAAAACAATGACCTCTCCAAGATATTATGTAAGTCCTCCTGCTTTTATCGAGTATCCTGAAAGTTGCTGAATTAGTATTATTCGTCACCGGGAAAATGAGTGAAACCAATGAATGATGAAACCAGAATGCATCTTTTTCCAAAAGCTGGTCCTTCAAGGTATTAAATTAAACCGAGTTCAGTTACTGTAATAATTTATGCACTTTGGAGGTTTGTAAAAATTTATTGATTTCAAGTTGACATTCATCATAAACTAGCATCAATTGGGAAACCATTGAGTGCTGAACTGGTGTTTTGTCTTAGTATGGGGACTCCTCAGAAGTGCGCACCTAAATCAGATTACTGTCCAGTGTTCATTAGTGACTTGCTTCAAGATGTGATTTCCTGATGTTCTAATGAGAAGTCTTGACCTATGGGGTAAATCAAGTTGGATCTGAGGACTCATATTCAACGATAACATTGGATGGAGGTTGCGCTATGTAGTGAATTGACAAGTAGGAAAATATGAACCACCGATAAAGGGTTCACCGCCAAACCTGAAGGTTTTAAGTTCGATACCTGGTGGTGTCATAGGTCCTCACTTCTGAGGAGTCTCATACCACAGTAAAACAGTTGTCCAGTGTTCGCAGGTTTTCTATGCTTCTCCAGCTCATATCAGTCCGCAGTGAACACCACTTTGAAATAATCTATGCACTTTTGACGTATGAAAAGTGACTGTAGTGTTAAGCAAGATCATGACTTTAAAGTTCCATCAGGTTTACGTGAAATATTCGCTAAATAATTAGCTATGTTCCTGCCATATACTTCAATTTAAAAAAAATAATATCAGTGAACAACATTTGTATGTGGAAACTAGCCGCTCTGATCTGCGGGTTTCGCTAGCTAGATCAAAATGGTCTGGACGCCTGAATATCATTCAGCTCACTCAGTGGCGAGCTCATTAACACGATTCCCTGGAAAATTCAGTTCATAAAAGCTGAATTGTTCTGGTGAACTGAATTTCTGTACCTTAGTTGAAGCAAACAGTAGGTCATAAAATGAAAGATGGCTGTACAAACTATTTACTAACTACGTAGTCCTTGTTTACATTCCTTACAGCTGGAAGCTTTTGCGAATAGCTAATTCTGGTTCTAAATGAAATAACCAACGTAACCTGAAGATCAGGATAATTGGCTTCTAACTGCTCACATTGTTCACGAGGAATCAGCTCATGACGCTTTTGGTGTTGGCTGCCTGGATGACTTTTTTCAGCAAAACCTTGCTAACAACACAGTTAAGTTGGAAACCTTATCGTTGAGAAACGACTATATGGACCGTGGAACTCGCTAATTGATGATAAACTACAAGGTTTTAGGCTTGTTTCATCTAGTTTGCATCCTGTTTTATCTTAACTCCACTAACATACAGGTCCGAATACCTTCAGTCCGAGTATCAGTATATAAGGCATATATGTTCAGTTTCTTTTTTTCGCAAACAATTGGTCACCTATTGACTGACAAATATGTTATTTTAGAAGTAGTATTCACTACGGACTGACTTCAGTTTTGGAATCATTGAGAACCTGGGTGGACTGGAAAGCTGTTTTGCCCTAGTTTGGGGCTTCTCAGCAGTACGCACCCACGACTGGGCTAGGAATGGAACTCTGGACCTTCAGGTTTCATGGCGAACGCATTAACTATTCAGCCACTGGGTCGGTTATTAGTTGTTCACAGTTTCCAACTTCTGTCAATTCACGATATAGTGCGACTATTATTCTTCCGAAAAACTTGAGCTAAATAAAGACACTTTTTCTTTCATATTTGGTTCTTAAAACCTGAAGGATACGGAGATTGTTGATCAGTGTCACACTTCTAAACATTCAGTCTAATAGTGTTGTTCATGTGTTAGCTACGACAGCAACAAAATCCCTGGATTAATAACAAGATACATCTTTAATCGTTTTTTATCTTAGCATTCATAGCTACTGATTTGCAGCTTCCCACCACTGATTCTTATAAAAGCAAAGTCTGAAGACTATATGGTTCTATATTTAATCGATACTTACTCCTGACTTTCTTCACCTTAGTTTACATATGTGCAATACATCTACCTATTGTCATGAAATCTTAGCTATCAAAACAATGTTCATTGCACTCGAGTCACAACCCTAACTATTTTCTATATTAAAATGCATTCACCATCTCACCTTTTGCTCAATGTGAAACGATTGGTAGTTTACACAGTAGAATCATATAATTTCAACAGTGCACAGTAAAACTAATCTTTGTTTCACACTAATAATTCTATTGTAGTCACTACTAAATGTATTCAAAATAAACGTAACCTTTTCTAGTCTATTTTAGATACTTGCCAAACAACATATCAAAGTTAAGTAACTTATAAAGTATACTTTCAACACGACCTTATGTACCAATAACAATTAGTAATACTATAATCCCTATATTTCTGTCAATATTTCTGCCAATAACTTACTGGGCGTTTCTTTTAAGTATTGATTCAGAAGTGAAACATGTTTCATATCACTGATATTCTCCAAGCTATTCAATAATTTGAATTTTACTAGAATTAACTATATTCCCATTTCAGAACCAATCATTACTACTCCTTATACTTAATTAGTCAGGTCAAAGGTAGCTTGCATGTTTAACAGGTACATTTTTAGGATTTGGAGATTAGATTTCATGTTTAATATTGTATTTGAATACAGCCAATGGCCTTGGTCATTCTTAATTCACATGTGCAGTGAAATGTCCCCTCTGAAACTAATCGCCTAACGACAACAAGCATCGAAAAGCATCTCCATTACTGCAAGAGTATAGAGTTGTTTCACATATTACGTTAACTAACAGTCACAAACTTTACACGTATCCAACAAGCACAATGTTTACCAGCTTAGGTGAAGTGTTAGCATGT